AGACAGAGGAAGGGGCGACCTAAGAAATGTTATTGACGTTGTTCTTGAAATAAACAATGATGGCCTGTACAAAATTGGAACTAAGCATGGAATACTGCAGACACACTATTGCGGGTTAGTTACGCATTTTATTATTTATTTTTTCTCAAATTACTTGAAAAAAAGAAATTCTTTTTTAATGACCATGTTACTCTATTTCACTGTNTTTTTTATTTATATAAGTATCTTAAGGTCAGTTTTTTGCGCTAATGTTGCTAATGCACCACTTGAGCGAAAGAAAAAAATTGTTAAGGAAAATTTTTCTGTTAGCGAACCCTTTGTTAAATATTTCGAATATCACCACTGGTTATCATTATCATCATGTCAACAAAGCGGCAATAAAATATTTTCTACCATTTTGCACAACATACCTCTGCAAGAGCGGATTTTCGGCTATGACAAACATGAAAACTAATCATCATCATCATCATCATCGACTTCAACTCGAAGATGACTTGAGACTGAAGCTGACCAAAAAGCAACCAGATTTTACAAAGTTGTGCAAAGAAAATCGAACACATTTGTCACATTAAAATTAAATAACCTTATGTTATTTTCATTATCATTAGAATTGTATTTTAAAGGTAACAAATGAAAAAAAACTTATTCTATTTATCACTAGCTGTCTACCCACAGCTTCGCTCGCATTATATCGAATTTTCTCGTGGGAGTAATATATTTTCTCGCAGTAAAATGTAGTCCATGTCCATCTCCAAATGTAGGCTATCTCTGTGCCAAATTTTATTAAAACCTATTCAGTGGTTTAGACGTGAAAAGGTAACAGACAGACAGAATTATCTTCTAATTTATAATATTAGTATGGATTAATATGAATTTCTGCTATAGGGGTACGCGAGTTTAAGCTCTTTCTTGAAGTGGTATGCAGGAAAAACTAATTGGGAACCACTGATCTAGAGTCTATATGATGGCTTAGTCATTTCTTGAAAAAAGAAAATTGGTATTAGTCAAAATAATAGCCCAAACTTGGTGGGCCATAACGGGCTCTCCTACCTTACAAAGAATTATACAATTATTTCATCCAACGTGATAGATATGCAAAGTACTGTTTACCCTTCCTGAAGACATTTTGTAATGAGGTTTTGGATTCCTGCTTGCACACATTGTAATTCCTGGGAACATATGTCATGGCACAGAGCTGTAAACAGGTGAGCTAACAATTGCGCCTGTTTGCATGCTTGCTTGCCTGCCTGGCATTAAACGATCATATTTACTTCGTTCAACAGCGATGCAAGTTATCAAAAATTATCTAAGGGTAAATAATTGTTTACATTTTGATAGCTTCATTTTTGACCCCACGTACTACTGGACTTCGGCGAAAAACCTTAATAGGACCCCATAATCCCGGAGGTCAACGGCACACACATTCGTTAAATTTTGGACATGCATAAATCCTTATGAGACTGGTTCACTTTACTATAACACCTCTCATATAAAAATATCTTTGACTTTTATTAAAGTAAGTGCCCGTCAGTGGCCGAGTGGATAAAACCACTGAACACTAGTTGGTCGTGGATTCAGGCTCTCTAACAAGCTGGCCACGTGGAATTTTCAAGGTTTTTTTCATGTTTCTAACATCTAAATAGGGTTAGTTTCCCCACAAAGTCCTCCCAGGGGGATTCTCCCTCAGCAGATCGCCCGCCAGTTGCGTTGCCACACACAAACAACAACATTCAGTGGCTTCACGAGGGCCAGGAAAATTTGAATTAGGGGACCCCATGTACAATGTTAACTTCAAATAGTTTTCTTCGGAGGAATTTTTAAAAAATCCCCGATATCCTGGTTCATTTTTTCAAGCAACTTCTGACAGTTCTCTACATTGCGCAATCCACCCCTGCACCTGAACCACACTGGCATTCTACGATTTCCAGATATAGCCCAAATTTCAATTTCGATATTTTTACTATAGTAATGAGTTTATAAAAGATTGGTTTGGGGTCCCCTGTTGGTGAGGGCCCAGGCAATTGCCTTTTCTTCATAAAATAGTGTGCCACTGATAACATTGACAATTTTGAATGTTGATTTACAGTATATTTAATAAAATAAAAAAAGATGAAACAGGAATTAGTAATCTATCTTATATAATAACAATAAATTTCAATATCAGTATAGTAAGGAGTCTGTAAATTAAATTAATATTGGAGAAAGATCGAAGTGCAAAAGAGGTTAGAAAATCCTGGTCTATATCATAATGATAAGTCACAATAATCCTACAGAACATTTCAAATTATATAAATTAATAGGAATTAGATATACTGTATAAAATAAAGCAAAAATAAATCTATGAAATATAAAAATTAAATATAAGAATAGTGGCTTGCTAAAAATTAGTTTTTGTAAAAAAAATATCTTTTTCTTACCAATAATTTCAGTATTTCTCCATGAGAATTATGCTATGCAATTTCAAGTTAAGAAAGCAATAAATTAGAATTTGAAATGAAAATGATTCCAAATTACCGTACATATTTTTTTTATCATAGTTAACATTATATTAATTATTACAATTAGAATGTTGCATGTTACCAGAGGAATGATCTTTTTTGGCAATCCAAATATTACCTTATTAAGTAATAAATATAAATTATGTATGTTCAGTATACGATATCCCGTATATGATTCGTATGTTCAAATATGAAAGCATGCCAGTTATATCCAAGAAAGAATAGTAGACTAAGCCCATGTGCAGGATTTTTAAAAGGGTAGCATTTTTAAAAATATATTTTTCATAACATAGTTTATTAATTTTTACAACAGAAGTCTATAGAATAACAATATTAGTGTATTGTACTGTTACACAATAGGATAAAGAAGGACAAGTGAAAGGAACAAGGAACTGAACAGGTAAACAATGATACACGATAGAGTAACACAATACTAAAATATTTTGTTACTCTAATATATATCCTCATTGCTTACTCATTCACATCCTTGTTAGACTAAGGAGGGGCTGAATAAGCACAAAATGTGTTTGTTTTTTAATTTAATGTTTTTAATTCTTCCGTAACAGAGGGTTAAATCCAAAATCTCTCCCATGGCTTGCGCTAATTAAGGATTTAAGAAGTTATTCATAATCTTCAAAATTCTGTTGTGGATCAAGGAATTTTCCTACAGCAAACAACAAAAAATGCTATTTTATGTTAAAAACTTGATTTGTTAGTATCATCACTAGTTAGATAAATAGATAAGGAAGTTTTATTAATTTATTAATCAGTATTTTAATAATTAGAAAACGATATAGTTTTAATGCTTTAAGCATTTATAGGTTACTTTAATTTATATCAGAAGAATTAAAAAAATAATTTTAAAATTAAAATATTTTTTTAATTCTTAAACACACTATGTAGTGTAATAAATTTTCAACACTTGGCATTCTATCATCTTTATTTAGTTCAGTTGATACGTGTTTAAAATACACGTTTCTGGCGTAACATGCCCCTCTTTAGCCAACTCGGGATTATTTATAAACTATGTATCATGGATGAATACATATTTATACAGCTTACACATTTATTGTCTATCTTTGTTGTTTCCTTTTCAGGTGACAAAATTAAAAGATGAATGTACCTTCAGTACAAGATTTGCTTACATCTGTATTTTTTCTTTCCATGTTTTATTCTTGGTTAAGAGGCAATATGATAATAAAATTCAATTCAAATTCTGTCTTTTACTGTTATATGTATAAAAAAACACGTATCACTAAATGAATATGATAGAACACCAAGTGTTTGAATTTATTAGACTACATAGTGTTTAAGAATCAAAGATGAGTCACAACAGGGTTTCAGATTATCAAATAAATTAAAATAATTAAATTCCAATATATGTGTGTAAAAATAAAGAAAAACAGTTCAACCAATACATCATTTGAAAATTTTTTAAATTTCTGTCTAGTAAAATGTTACATTATTACAGTGGCGTAGCGAACATAACTGGCGCCCGGGGAACGACACTTTATTGGTACCCCCTCACCCTCCAGAAACACACATAGTTTGTCTTGGAGACCATTTGGGCACCCCTCTGCGAGTGGCACCCGGTGCATGATAGACCCCCTTGCCCCCTCACTACGCCACTGCATAGTAACTAATTACAGAAACGTGCAGAATATATTGTACAATAAATATAGACATTACAAACAATAGAATTCTGTGTAAATGGCTAAATAATTTTATCATTTGCACTTTGTATTGTAGAAAATGTTTACAAGAACTTTACTTTTATTTAACAGTAGGATGGATGCTCACCATCCACCCACCCTGAAATAATATATTCAAGTCTACTTATAATGACTATTATTGAGGAGTTTCTTTAAATATGAATTGATTGTTTTCCAAGTAATTATATGATCTTACTAAACATTTATCTGCTTATATACATTATTGAAAACAGTGCCAAATTTTAAAAGTAAGTTTGTTTGATAATAAAATGGGCAGATAACACCGTCTCCAACTCTGCCTCCCAGAACGAAAATTCTAGTGACATTACTGAATGCAGATAATGAGAAAGTTTTGACAAACATATATATAGATAATCTAGAACTAAGTAAAAGTGAAACTTTTGAATCTACATGTAATTCTATATTACCAAATCAAGAGATGTTGCAAATATTAAGAACCATATTATTGAAACACATTATTGAAATAATGTGTTATGTTGGAGAAATAAATTGATCAATCATATAAGATTGACTAAGGAAAATGTGACAGGTGATGTACAGAAGTTAAAAAGGAGAAAACTAATAAACCAATGCTGGTATTTTTGAAACATCTGTTAATCATTTTAACTATTACTTGATTTCATTCATTTTTGGACACACAATTAATTAATATAAACCTTAAGTTTTTCAAATACCTATTGTATTATAAAAAGCTAAGCTTTAAAGTTATAAATTTAACAATAATTAATCATAAAAAGCAACTTGAAAATAATAATTTTTGCAATGGAAACTTCATTTATTAAATAAAGAAATCATAAATAATCAATATAGTACAATTAATTTCAATTATAATGCAATTTTTTGAAACATTGAATATTAATCCAATAAATGACTATAATTAACTAAAATTCTAGGGAGTATTCAAATTAATAAATATTCACTTTTGAATAAATTATCCCATAAATTTGAAAGCTGTTGTGGATATTTTTATAAAATCACCTTTTTGAAAATAGATAACTGTTCCAAATAATCTTGATGTAATTTTATTTCTTTATGAATTTGAATGATGTTATAAATATTGATAATTCTTCATATGCCACTTTGAAACACAAGACTAATTAGTTAAATTCTCTTAATTTATTACATATATGAAACTTTATTTGAATACTCAGCAATGACTTACTAATTTATAATTCTCATTTTCACTAATTTAAAACTGATCTGTTCAATAAAGGATAGTCTATATACTGATCTTTATATTTAAAAATTGTCTATCCTTAGGTTCATACTTAAAAATGTTACTTCAATTTTAATGCATAAAAAAAATATGTAGACAAAATATAATTTCCTAATAGGATTGAACAGCAGATAAGTAAACAAAATTGTGATTTTAACATATTTTATATGATGATAATATCTACCAATGTAATAAAAAGTTATCATCATCATCATATAAAACATTCCATATCATCATAGCCATACTAACTTTTGGTTAGTGAAATATAATCTTCATTTTGAAGACTTTATTTTAATATTTTAATATAAAATTTTAAAAGGGAATATATTGTTACTTCTTCTATCATATCATATCATTGATATATATATATATCATATATGAACAATATATATATGAAATAATACTATAACATTTCACATATATCATTATTATTCTGTTTCTTTTGCAGTAGTATGACAAAACTCATCAAAACAGCAGCAATAAAATTTGTTGAACTTGTGAACCACAGAATTGCTGAACGATCTTGTGTCATATCAATAAGCCATCCTGAAGATAAAATTTGTTTAAAATTTATTAAAATAATTTTTAATTGTAAAATATAATTTACAGACAGTATCAATTTACCAATTAGTAAAATTTAAAAGATCGTTAAAAAGTTATGATTTAATTTTTGACTTGATTTGATAAATTTTGGACTAATTGGGAATTTACTTTTACATGCACATAGCAAACAAGTCAATCTTCTTTACAGAAAATCATTTTATTGGTATAATATATAATAAAATATAGCTAAATAAAATGAGAAATATTTGCTCTGTATAATAAAGCAATACTTTAAATAAGATTTTAATAATTTTTTTGGTTTATTATTTAGTATAGAATCAAGGTTTATTATTAAAATTTTACATTTGAATAATAATAAATTAAAGATTAATTATAGTTATTATTTAGAAAGTACTTACCTCCTAGAGGTGGACCAAATAATGTTGTACAACCACCAAAAAATAAAAGAACTCCAAAAGTTAATGTAAGGTTTTCAGCCCCATACATTGTAGCTGGAGCCACAACACAAATAACACACTGTTTAGCATAGAAAAAAGAAAACATAATAGCAAGTCCAAGAAACATTTCAAAAGATGAAATAGTAATGTGAAGACACAATGCCAAGCCAGAAAAAAAGAGTATTATTGCTGAATATGTAATCACATAGTTTTTGCATTTGGACAAGACAACTCCTACAGTAAGTCTTCCAATTATATCTGCAATTCCCATCGATGATATTATTATAGAAAATTTATCACCATAGCCAAAAAGATTTGCTAAATCTTTATAAGTCACAAATATTGTAGAAGTACCCATAACCCATATAGAGTTTGATAAAATAAAGCATATAAATGTACAATCTGTAAAAAATGATATAAATTTAGAATATTTAGAATGTCCATTAAAACTGACATTTCCTTTATTCACATTGTTATTCTTAAAATTCTTTGTAGTCATATCTTTTTGATTTTGTGATACATAGGTTTCCCTATAGTTTGGTAGTTCTTTGCTTGAAACAAAAGCACCACAGACACAGAAGTTAAGAGCCATACCTGCTTGAATAAACATGGATCCCCTCCATCCATAATAATCTACTGCAAGTTCTAGAAGAGGTGAGAATACAAAAATACCAAATCCAATTCCTGAAAATGCTATTCCTGTTGCCAAACTATGAAACTTCTTACAATGTACAGCAAGTGCAATTGCAAATCCAGTGTAGACAAAATTTAAAAAGATTGCTGAAAAAGACATAAAAATCATTTTTAATAACAAAATTTCTCATATATAGGGTGGCCACTTACATATCTATCCAGAGGCAAAAGAGGTTTTTCCAACATTGCACAAGTGTATGCATGTAGTGCATGATTGTTCCAGTACTATAACAACTGAAGGAAATCACTCAATATCTGGTGTGGTAGCTGATGAATACGTAGATTTAATATGTGTGTCTTTAATCCGAATTAGTAAAAACGGTAGACTTTCTCTCAGCTATTAGGTTAGGTACTCCTTTATTGCAAATCACAAATGCATTTCGGGTAAATGCTACACATATAAAGCATAAAGAGTACCTAACCTAATAGCTGAGAGAAAGTCTACCGTTTTTACTAATTCGGATTAAAGAGACACACACTAAATCTATGAAGGAAATCAATTTAACCTTTCAGCAGTGGGATAGTCAAGTATGGTGCTATCCAAAAGTATTGGAGAATAAACGTGGGAAATTTTTAAAATATTTTTCCACACATTTTTTCTCATTACCATTTCGGAAAAAGATTTTGTAAACAGTTATGTCTTGTAAAGAAAAGTCTTTTTTTTATTGTTACATAATTCATTTTTTATGTGAATTTTTTTTCATGGTAGTTTTTGGCGATATCTCCAAAAGAATTTAATGGATATATCCACCCCTCACCACTGCAACACGATCGCCCTGGACAGATATATCTGTCCCTCAATGTTGAGTGGTTAAGATAATATAACATAACATACAAATAATCGCTGATTGTAAAGGATGACATTACAAAAATTGATACAAAATAGTGTGCTTTAATTTGTTACAGAACATTCAAAACTGCCTTCAGCAGCAATAGAAGGATGGAGTTACAGTAGTTCAGTATGACATTATTGATGACACAACATTTCTGATTCATTATTTCACAGGCTCTTGTATTCACCTCTCCAGTTTGCCAACATCATGCAGTGCTTCTAGGTAAGCAACATATACTTGCTTTCCAGTGATCTCTTAACCCCATAGGAAAAACTCGAGAGGGTTCATGTCTAGGAACATGATAGCCATGGAACAGACCATATTGTAATATTCAGCAGTTTTAAACTGTTTTGTGAGTCACTGATGCATGACTGTCTAGAAACGAGATGACTTGCCATCATAATTACTGTAGTTGAGCCAATGGCAAGCTATCCATTCGTCCACTGTCATACTTAGAATGTTCAGATATCAATCACTGTTCAGAGTGCCAGGAATAAATATGGGACCAAGAAGTTGCTCATGCCAAATTCCGCATCAGATGTTTAGATTAACTCAATGTCACTATGTTGTGTGCATTATGGAAACACTTTATCTAGTGATACAAGTATATTGTACCATTATGCATATTTATTGTGATAGTTATACACTCTATACTGGAAAAAGTAAATTTCCTTGTTAGTCCACAAAATGTATTGAAGTAGTTGTGGCTCATCATACTGTAAATTTATCATATTAAACATATTGCATCATGCAAATTGCTGACAGCATTCTTGCATATTGTGTTAGTTGCAAATAGCAGCAGAATAGGTGCAAGTCATGGCAACATAATTATCAGTGTATTTGTGTCCACTACAGTCTACAATACAACATAACCAATGCTGGAAAGATCTCTCTTGTCCATGAATGGATGTGTAAATGGACAAACTGTATATGTTAGTAATATACATTTATTTTTATATACAGTAAAACTTTGTTATTTCAAAACTCAAGGGACCAAAAAAGTATAACTTCAAATTATCTGAATTTTTTTTCGAATCAGTTTATTGTAATTCTTGAATAAAATTATGACATTATCTTATATAATTTCACCTGTTTGTTTACAAATGCATTAATATTACAAGTTATTATTGAGTAATTTATGCAATTTAAAAAACAGTCAGTTGGTGTGTACTTATAAAAACAAGGAAAATGTTACCAAATTACACTCAAATCAAGACCTGAAAATAGTGTACAAAAGAAGCTTAAGCACTTCAACAAGAATTACCATAAATTTCATCTCGAGTTTAAGATTATAAAAATCATGTGATCTGATGAAAACAAGCTCTATTAAGTCTAGTGTAGATGATAATAGACCGAAGGGACTGTTGGAGAAATAGCTGGAGCATCCAAGGACAGGATTAGCAATGACAGACAGTGAGCAAATGATGAAAGGCAGCTGGTCAAGACAAACTCGATGTGGAGCAATAGAGATGGACTGATCAAGATAGACGGATCCTTCTATACAGAACTTTATTTTTGGGTCTCTGACCCAAAGATAAAGTTCCAGATAGAAGAATCCATTTGACCAATGACCTTTCTTGATCTGTCTCTTGGAATATGTCCTCCTCTTTGATGGGCATCTGGTCAAATGTAAAGTAAACTTTAACTAAATAAGTGTAAACCAAATTTTATAAAAAATATGCAAAGATTAATTTTTAACAATTTAAGCATGGCCAAGGAAGATAGTCTTCAAAATGAAGATTATATTTCACTAACCAAAAGTTAGTATGGCTATGATGATATGGAATGTTTTATATGATGATGATAAATTATTATTAGATTGGTTGATATTATCATCATATAAAGTATGTTAAAATCACAATTTTGTTTATTTATCTGTGCAAAATGTCCTGCTCTATTTCCTATGGTTCCAAAGATAATGCTTTAATTTTTTGATTGAGGTACAATATTACAGAAAGCATTGTTATAACTTATATATAAGATTGCAACCTTTCTAGTAAGTTATAACAATTTGGATGTAATTCCATTGTTTCTACTTATGGTCTCTATAGTTAATAAAGTGATAAAAGTTTTAAGGGGGTTGAGTTTTGCTGGATGTCCAAAAGGGGAGGGGGTTACAAAAACTTGGACAAGGAGAATAAAAATTTCAAGAAAAATGCAGATGTAATTTATGGACAGCCCCATATCGAAATAACAAGGTTCTACTGCATATGTTAGACTCAAAAATGAAATGTTTTGAAACAGATTTTATTACACAAAATACTCTTATAACACATTACCTTCGAGTAAGCTGCACCTATGAGAATATAACTATACACTTCTGCATTTGTAAAAGCAATTCTGGAAGCATTTTCTATATCTAAGATTTTTGTAACTTTCACTCTGTTCTTGATTAAAACTTACAATCCTTTAGCTTCTCTTTTATTTTAGTAAACAGATAAAAGTATCACTGCTAGATCAGAAACATAACATGATTAGGAAAGCCAGTGATGTTTAAGACCAGTAATATAATTGATGTAATTGTGTACTTAATAAATAATCATACTCATCATATATAGTACAGCAATATTTAGGCATCATTATAGTGAAGGACTGAGTTCTTAATCAGGTTGTTTTCATCACACTTCATTTAGATGGCTGAGAATTTCAACATACCTTTCCTGATTGTTACTCTGATCTCTAGGAATAAATTTCATATGGCCTGCTGCTGTACCAGATTATCATTTCTTATCTGTCAACTTTCTCTGACACTGCAATAAAAAATTCAGTCCTACCTTGCTGCTCATGGTGGAGGAAGAAAACAGATGGCAATTGCATACAAGCATGGCCTTAACTTATATTAAACTGACAACCTCTGTTTCTCACAATGGTATATAATGTAAAAATTTAAAAGTTCATTTTTGATTCTATAGTTTTTGACAAATTGAATTTTAATGTAATTAATAAAATGTTCAAAACATATTACATTTTTGTATTCTTTGTATGTTTGTATGTTCTTTCAAACTATACAAACAAATATTTTGAAAATATAATTATTGATTCTCTGAAAACATATATATTATATAATACATTTGTATTACAGTGGAACCCCGGTTAACGAACGTAATCCGTTCCACAAGTCCGTTCGTTAACTGAATTGTTCGTTAACCGAAGCAATTTTTCCCATATAAATTAATGCAAATGCAATTAATCCGTTCTAGCCGTCAGTATTTTTGTAATTTTATTTGTAAAATGGGTTTTCTTTAATGAAAATATAGGAAAACGTGCTCATAAACAGTCGATTTAGGTTAAATTTTCGGAAAAGGGAAAAGATTTGACTGGTATAAAAACATCACACACGATCGTTAAAGTTTTAAAATGACAGATAGCAGAAACAACAGGCTAAATTGTGAGCGAAAGGCTTATAGGTTTATCGACAATCTCTGATCAGAGTCGACGAATAGGTGTTAAATAAATGCCTCGGAACAAACCTTTCTCGTGACCTGATCTGGTTTCGGTTTTGGAGACAAAGAAGAAAACAATCGGGAAGCGAGGAATGGGACACAGGACTAATCGTAAGGAGACAAAGAGGAAAAAATACTATAAAAACCCCGAATCTCAAGGTCAAAACGCAGTTTTCCTAAAAATTCTATGGTGATTAATCTGTGTCGTCTTTATCTGGATTAAGCCTGAAGTCTTGCCCGCTAAAATTTGTGTTGTGTCTCGCGGACCGCTCCAGTCGTTGCAGCTCTGTCACCTACCGTCGCTTCTGTGACCAAGCGAACCCATCTCTTCCGCTCTGGGGCTATGACTGATCAGCTTGCACTATCGTAGGACCAGCGATACGCCACTCCTCAGTGCCGAGAGAAAATACTGTAGATAAGCCATTTCCAACTACCTCAAATATATAAGCATCTTCCGTTCTAAATAAACGATTTTCACTGTAAAATACTTGTCATCTTTGTCTCCTCCGCCACCACCAACGTACGAATGGGCCCTAGACCATCACCGACACACGATTAACTGATTTTCCCTAAAAGTCGGCAAGCTTACAAATTTGACACAAAAACCCGTTAAGTTCGTTATCCGAATTTTGTTCGTTATCCAAGACAAAATTTTTGCAAAATAATAGTTCGTTAACCGATTTGGTCGTTAACCAGGACGTTCGTTAACCGGGGTTTCACTGTATATTTTACATACAATATGATTAAAAATATAACTAATTATATTACATTTGTGTACAGTAGAGCATCGTTTATCCGAATGAATTGGGGACTGGGGTAGTTCGGATAACTTATTTTTCGGATAACCATTACGTACGAAAAAATATATTAACCTATTCTGTGTTGAAATTTTTCTCTGTTGCATGTCACTTTGTGTTGAATTTTCGTCGATGTTAAGCCTAATGTAAACTTTTTAAAATAATAATCGTGGCTATTGTATCATTAAAAATGATTTCTTTATGTTTTACAAACGAAATATATACATTTAAAAATATAAAAACAAATAAAAATTATACTTTAGGCCGACTGGAATTCTTTCAGATAATTGACGTTTCGGATAAACGACGCTCTACTGTAGTTATATACACATACACACAATACAGTGACCTCTCAGTTATACAACTCTAAAGGGACCAATAATAAAAGTTGTATAAGTGAGAGAGTTGTACAAAAGAGAGATTGACCAACTTGAATGAAAAATGTTAAAAATATAACTGCAAACCTTTCAGTATTGATTACCACAGTTAAAAGCATTATTTCTTTTAAATTCAAAATACACAATTAAAATCTGGCACCCAGTCACTCAGAAATAAATGTGCATATCCAAGTTTTGCAGCAAAAGTGGGCCTGCAGGGCCAAACTACAGTACTGTATTTTCTTTATGTTATAATCTTTACAGGGCAGAAACTAGAAGGAAGGATATTTTGGAAATTTTGTTGGTCATCCAAAGGTTACTTTACATAGCTAACTATGTAAAGTATCAAATATATGTCAGGAAAGGTCAATTTGTCAAAACTTGAATAATATGCATGTAAATAATCGTGACCTGACAGAATTCGTACCAAAGTTATTAGTTAATACATACCTGGCAACAACTTTAGGAGAATGCAACAATAGTCTGTGGTAATGTTATAACGCTTTACTGACCACTGTCATGCATGACAATGGTCATAACATAATCACTTGTTATAATTAAGTGACCATTGGCCAAGTTATAACATTATCACTTGTTTTATAGCCAGCAGCCACTCTCTTTCTAAAAACAGATATTACGTCCAGTATGATAATCCTCTGCTTTCTTATCTTCCTAGGCACCTGTCTGACCTATGGCAAAGTGATTCCACTCTATTCTTGTGATTGACAATCATGACAATAAAGTAAGGGAAAAATATGTTAGTCCGAAACAATTGTAGGTGGTGCAGAATTAAGAGTCGTTCAAATGAGAGATTTTAAACATTATCTCCTACAGGCTTCAATACAACACCACACCAGGATATAGTTAACAATGTACCCAGAACCGATAACACAGAAGCGAAAAATATATATATTTTTGCTTCTGTGCATATCGGTTATCAGTTCTAGGTATGTTGTTAACTATAGGCTTCAGCCAGGACCAGTCAAAAATGTCTTATAACTGAGAGTCACTTAAATGAGAGGTCACTGTATATATTTGTATATTTTGAAAGAATCTATAAGTGTATTTAATTTGCTATCATTTACATATTCCGTGAATAAATAAACCAGTGTAATTTTTATATTCTTCATTGCTGGTTTTTACACTGATATATAAAAATATGGATAAACATATACTAAATTATTTTGAATAATAAAATGCTTACCTGTTAATATTCCAAGTGAGAAAAGTAAATAATTAACATTGATAGCAAATGAACTAATAATATATCCAAATGCAGTTCCTAATCCACCTAACATGATAGTGATTCTACATCCAAAGGCTTTTATCATTAAGCCAGAAAATGGCCCTATAAAGTTTGTAAAGAGAAAAAATAATTTTTTGTTTTCTTTTTAACACATTAAAAAAATTATATAAATTATACAAAAAAGATATATATATATTTTTAAATCTAATGAATAATATATATACAGTATATACTGTATATATATTTGCTAAAGTTACAATAATCCAAATCCAAACAATACTCTATTTTATAGTCAAATATTTAAAAAAATATTTTTATGCTAAAATTAAACAAATTAAGATAATTTAATTAAAAATTAGCTTAACTAACTTAAAAGCAATGTCTTTTACACATGTTTGGCTATACAGGTATACCTCGCCTTACGTCGGTAATTGGTTCCAGGAGAACGACTTAAGTCGAAAAACGACGTAAGTCGAATTTACTTGTCTCCAAATCTACTTGTCACTAGGCTAAACCATAAAATGCCAATTCCGGTTCTGTATTTTATTTATTAATGCATTTTTAATAATGTATGGTTAATAACGATTTATTTTAAGCTTACAAACAAATAAATTTTAGTTTTTAATTAATTAATATAGTACAGAAAAAAGTAATCTAAATTTACGAATGCATGTACTGTAAATATAGTACATACTTGTAAATGTATATATTTTAATATGATTTTATGTGCTTTAAACATTTTTCTAGTGATATTACGACTTCAATATTTGTGGCGGACAGACGTAAAGTCGAATAAAATGACTTAAACTTGATTTTTATTTTTCCATATACTTTTTTGACAAACGACGTATAATCGGGAACAACGTAACTCGAAACAACGTAAGTCGAGGTATACCTGTACAGGCAGCTCTCAACTTTTGCTAGTTTGCACATTTTTAAAAATTCAACTTTTCAAATATTTTTGTTGATAATGAAAAAATTTGCTTCCATGCAGAATGCTCATACACTACAAAGTGTGGTAGCTCACTTAACATTCTCGGACACACATTACTTCCTACAATAGCGGACTTCTTGTACAATAGTGGAATCGTAATCACTACTGTGTTGTTCTGAGCAAGAGGTCAAATCAGTTTCAGTCTTGCATTAGGGTGTTGTGTGTTTTGCCAATTTATTTATTTATGTTTAAATATTTCGTCCTTATAAATTGATAAACATGAGTGAGAAATGGAGAAACTGCAGTGTTGATACAAACAAAAAGAAATTAAGGAATCAAACTTCATACGATTGAGACAAAGATGGAAATAATTAAACATTCTGAAAATGGTGAATCTTTTGCTTCAATCGGATGTTTGTATAATGTAAACAGATCTACGATATGTTCAATTTTGAAAAATAAGAGTAAAATTAAGGAATACATTCAAAGTTGTGGAAATATATCTTCAAAGATTGTTTCCAAAAGACTTGTTTCCATTTCCATTACCATAGATCCAAAAGATTGTTTCCATTTCATCCATTGCTATGCAATGGATGAAATGGAAACAATCTTTGTCATCGTGGATTGATGATCATCATCAAAATAATGTCCCTCTGAGTTTTTCAATTATTCAAGCTAAGGCTCTTAGTTTGCATGAAGATTAGAAGACTAGATTAAATGAAGATTCTAACATGGTGTTTCAAGCAAGTAAAAATTTAAAATAAGATATTCTTTACATAATATTAAATTCACCAGAGAATCAGCCGATGCAGATAAAGATGCTGCGAAAGAATTTATTTCCTCATTGTCCAAAATTATTGTAGATGGAAAATATTCTCCTAGCCAAATATTCAATGTAGATGAGATGAGTTTATTTTGAAAAAAATGCCTAATCGTACATTTTTATCGAAGGAAGAATCACAGTTGCCCCTGGACATAAACCTTCCAAAAACCAATTGACATTGCTTCTTGGTGGAAACTTAGCTTGTGATTTAAAATTGAAGCCATTGTTAGTTTACCAAGTGGAAAATCCCAGAGCATTGAAAGAAAAAGATAAAGAATTGCGTCCAGTCATTTGGAAATCAAATAAAAATGCCTGAGTTACTGCATTAATATTTAAAGATTGGTTCACTTTTCATTTCATGCCTACAGTTAAGCAATATTGCAAAAATAATAATATACAATTTAAAGCATTATTAATCTTAGACAATGCTCCAGAACACCCAAAATCTCTGCAGAATTTATACCCAGAAATCATTGTTGTGTTTCTTCCTCCCAATACTATCTACCTCATACAGCCCATGGACCAAACAGTGATAGCTATGTTTAAATGATATTATATGAGGACAATAATGATTAAGGCCATCAAGGCAACTGACAGGGAAGATGGGCCAACATTAACAGATTTTTGGAAAAACTATAATATATGGAATGCAATAAACAATATTGGAGACTTGTGAAGTAAAAGAGTTGACAATGAAACGTTCCTGGAAACAATTATGTCCACAAATGAGTGATTTTATAAATTTTGAAGAAACACCGGAAACTATCACAGATGAAATAGTTAGTCTAATAAAAGAACTAAACTTGGATGTCAACAATGAAATTGTTAATGAGTTGGTTGAATCTCACTCAGTACCTCTGTCAAATGAATACTTAATTGAGCAACAATGAAATGCACAATGAAAGTGAGGAAGAAGAAGCTGATAAAAATGTCGAGACTTTGACAATTAAAAATATGAATGAAGCCTTCATGCATCTTGACATATTTTTGACTATCATGGAAGAATGTGATCCCAATGGAAACGTATATCTCAAGTACATAGGGTGATTCAGAAAGACACAGCATGTTATAGAAATCTTTATCAAGAAAAAAAAAAAAAAAAGGACGGTATTCAACTAACTCTCAACAAGTTTATAAATAAATTACCCGAAAGCACTTAAACATGCCTCATTAACTTCATTATGTATACATATTGATAAACAAATACTTTAAAACACAGTTTTTGGTGCATATTTTTTTGCATCCCTCTACTTTTGAACATTCAACATTCGTGCACACTTTTAGGAACCAATTATGTGCGAAAGTTGAGGGCTGCCTGTATATATATTTGGCCAAGTAAAAAAGTCACTGACTACATAGGAATCAGCATTGCTGATTTGAGGGTCAATTTCTTCACTATGCCAAACATTTATAGTAAGACTGAATATCTTTTTTAGTTTGTAGAATTTCGCTGGATGAAAATTTATTTTAATCACAAAAGACATTTTGGATAGACTGTTTCTTTTGTGATTAAAACTGAATATCTTGTTCAAAAGATATTTGTTTTCTTAGATAGTGTGCAAAATTTCAGGTTTTTCTATAAAGGGGTTGCCAAAGTATAAGCAATTGAAAAATCCAGAAATTGCCAAAAATGCTGTATTTTCTTATTCTTCTCTGTTCATATAGTACTGCAAACACTCCTAGGGAAAAAACAACTGCATCTAGAAAGCTCAGATTTTAAACTTAAACTTTTCTAGTTATCAGTGATGTGCTGGAAAAACTTTCAGGTTGATAGTCAAAGTTCACAGGGATTCTTCATAGACCTATTTTACTTTTTGGGCTGCAATTTGAAAAAATTTTAGACCTATTAATTCTCACAGTCATCTCACAGTCCATCTGTCCATCTTTCCTTAATCTCGAGAATGGAGTAAGATAGATGAAAGATTAGACCAGATATGGAAACATTTGAGATGGGAGGCCCTGAATAACTATATATGAACTTCCAATACAAACCTGAAGTCACATTATTGTAATTCAAAAATTTTTCCTTGAAAGGTGTTAAATATATGACTGGCAAAACTCTTGTTAAAGGAAAAGTATGATGTACAGGGGCAAGCCACTACTAATTTGAGATGAAGAGCATATATTTTGAATTAAAAATATGATTAAAAATTGCAGTCTGGCATTGTGATAATGCCACAATAAATAATTGCTCGTATCACTTGTAAGGATAAAGTTGCATTGAAACAAATGATTTTCATTCAAAATGTTATCCAGAATAACAAACGCTCAAAGTTATGTAAATGAAAAATTTTTATAACGATTTTACTAATGGCATATTGAAAGCATTGAATCAACAGAATTGTACAGTACATCATCACCTTAGGTCTTAATGTAATAAACATAATCAAACAATTGATATCCAAACAAAAACATCTGAGATGTAAAAAATTGCATCTAGTAAAAAATTGTGACAATTTGGATAACAGTCAAATTTTTTCTTAGGTGTTTTTCTTTGGTAAAAGTAAGTTAGGTATTTAAGATTTTTTACCTGTATTTTTATTTGATTAATGTTTTCTGTTTCACTTCAAAGCAAAAACTTATTTTTACCAAAAAAAAAAAAAAAAACTCAAGAAAAACTTTTACTGTCATCAAAATTGTCCTAACTTTTTACTTGGCTCAATTTTTTTACATCTCAGATGTTTTTGTTTGGATAATATAAATTACTGCAATAATGGGATATACAATGTATAAATAACTCTGAAGGTACAGTACCTAAATTTAGTAAAGAACACAAGTTTATTAAATAAACTATCATTTTTTTTATCTTGTTTAAAGGTGATCCTCAGGTTCTAATGTTAGAACTGTCAAAAACATTAGTTCACTTAATAAACTTGTGTTCTTTACTGGATTTAGGTGTTTTTAGAGTTATTTATAATATAGTTTTTTGTTCTAAATATTTCATTTCTTTAACATCTAACTGAAAAAATAATCACACATTATCAAAATGGCTTACAATTTCAGATAAGCAATCCAAAATTTATATTAGGATATTACAATTAATAACTAGAATAATAAGTGCTTTAAATGATGAAAGCATTGCATAATTTAGAACAAAAACCTTTTTAAAACTTCTTTAAATATATTTTAAAATCAAATAAAAATATTCATATACAGTCAAAATAGGATAACAGCAAACAAATATTAAGGTATACACACGATAAACATTCGTTAAATACTGTATATATTATTCATATTACTGTTCTAATTTGCCTATAGTATCTGCTAATTTGCTGATATTTTTTCTTTATGAAGTACACGATTACAGAATCATTTAAAAATTCAAATATAAAAAAGTTTGAAAATACATAGAAAACCATAGCATTGATGATAAAATTAAATTCAGAAATCATATCAAATTTAAAAATACTACTTTAATTTAAAAATGTAATTTTCTGGGCAAAATTAAATACATTTGAAAATAAAGAGATTAAATAATGCCTTAGCAATTATCATTTGCTTATCTGTCTACTCCTATCATCATAGTTGTAACAATAAAGACATTATATTCATTATACTCAATGACATCCTTTAAGTTTTATGCATTAATAATTTTATTACTCACTTTTAATCTTATCTAAAATATTAAATAAACAAATTTTTCTTGTATTTCATTCAAAAACAAAGATACTATGGATAACTGATACTAAAGATAAAAAAAAAATTGAATATGCTTACTTCATGTGTCCACTCAAAATAAGACACAAAAATTGCCCAACAGAGAAAAAAATGTTATGCAAACTGAAAATTAAATAAAAACTCTTATGTTACAATTAAAATATTCAAAATATTTTTATTTACAATTGTAGTGTTATTTATTTACTAATAAAATCAACCACGTAATAATTACAGAAAAACACTTCAGGATTGCTTTCTGTAAAGCACAATAATGTTTGCAGGAAAGTTAACTTTCAAGGAAGACATCAATTAAAAAATATATTATTGATTGTGAAAACATACCATTATATTTTGCTTTATTAGAGGTTTCATTCCTATCTGATTGCTTTTTTTCCAAATATAAACATCTTTATTTCATTGATATTTAAAACATTTTTCAAATTTTATTTCTAGTTCCTTTGCTCTTCAAAAGACTATCCTAATAATTTCTTATTTGTGCAATGAAAAACAACATTGGTACTTATCAGTTAGCAGGGTACCAGTCAATTGATGCGATCTAACTCTAACCTAAACCCTAAACCTAACCTACCCATTTGGAAAATCCTCTCTGAACCAATTATCAACCTAATACATGCAAGTTGGATTGCATCAATTGACTGGGACCCTGCTAACTGGAAAGTACCAAAATATTAAATATTAACTCTTCCTTAAATAAAGAAAAACATCTATAATGCTTCTACTTAACAAGAAATACCCTGAAAATTTGAATTTCATATATTATATATACTATATTGTGTATGTAAAATTGTGGTCTCAAACTTTTTTCACAGTCAACCTCTAAGGATTCATCAATCCTTTATCTACCTCCCTCTCCCTTTTTCACTAATACAGGTGGGTGGTGGTAAATATATCTAGTGAGCCAATATTAACACATCACTTTTATAGAAAAAGTACAGTATGCAAATTTATAACATCTTAAACTGTAATATACATAACCCATTGAACTAATAATTTTTAATAAATTGTTTTCATTAGACTGCATATCAGTATCTACCAGTTTAGTCTGGAACAGTAGGAGTTTTGTTTATCTCAGTTCTTTTACAGGTAAAACATGGTGCTGAGTAAGAAGGAATGAATTTAAGTTATTTTGATGGTGAAGACTTGCAACATGTGAAGTTTCCAAAGAGTTTAAGAGGATGCATTCAGACTTACCATCAATAACATACAGCATTCTTAATGCAGCCTGTTAAGCTCTGTGGCAACTTCTTGCTGATCACAAGTTTCCACCATCAATATAACTTGAATTCATTCCTCTTGGCATCACGCTTCACCTGTTAAAGAATAAACAAAGATAGTATAACTTCGATAGTTGTAGACTTATGGAGACACCTTTTATATCGATTACACTTAAAATATTGATATACACTTAAAATAATCTAAATACTATTTTACTATTAAACGTTTAATTAAAAAAAATCTAATGGAGCAATTATAAAATATAGAAAATAATAATTTTATTTTTTACTTTTCAATTATCTCATTGAAATTTCCATTTCTTAATTTCAATATGTCATGTTCCTATTGTATTATCTAAATAATACACAAAGCTGACTTTAATTTTTCTGAATTAAAAAATATTTTTCTATTCTAACAATTCAATATTTAAACATGTCACTAATTATTTTATATAATGTTTGTTTATAAAAATGAATTCCCCAACAATTTGAACATTGGTTTTATGGACATTAAATGAAAACATTGATGTTTTAAATCAACATATTATGTATGCAGACTTTTTACGTATTTTGTTACTAAAACAATAACTGATACAACGTAACAATGCATAGTGGTACGTAATACATAAATATATAACAATACACGAATGACATACATACCTGTTAACTGCAAAAGACAGGTGAACAATGAACCGATCCAAGCAGTATGAGACCTAGATTCTTGAAAAGTTAACAGAAATTGAACATAATATATACTAAAAGTATAAAGCAATCCAGCTTTGATGGAAAACGAAACAAAAGCTGCAAATACAATAACCCAACTCCGATATTTGATTCTAGTTTTACTTTTTCTTATTTTGTTATATTCTTCGTGTTTTTTACCATTCAATAACGTCACTACCACTTTGCAATCGTTTATTTCCTCACTAACGCCTAGAGACGAACCGTTTTCTACAACTGTCATCTTGACAATATTTCTCAGCAGACGAACATTCTGCCAGCGCCAATTTCTTCTACCATTGGTCCGCCATCGATGACGTACTATCGGATGATCGTCTGCTATGATGTCAGCGTCCTCTGGCAAAACTCGTTTTTAATAACATTTGAAGGTAAAAATTAAGTCGGGGAAAAAACAATCACGAATTAATTATCGTACGGATTTTCTCTCTTAATTATAACACACTTTTGCAATTTAAAAAAAAATCCTTTCCTAAAGAATTTTTAATTTAAAAGTTAATTCACGCGCGCGCATTCTGGACGAGAATTTTTGTCGTCTGCAAAATTAACGTTCCCAGTTGTCAAATCTTTATTTTTACAGTAAGTTTGCCGTTTTTTAAATATTTTTCTAAAATATTGGTTTTTAAGTGTTTAAAGGCATTAAATGATCGACATTTGTTATAAATTCACGTATTAAACCTCTCAACGATTCCGAGTTACGTATAGTATGCAATTTGTAAGTTAAACATTTATTTTTAAAAATTTCCATCATTAGCAGCTCGACACTAGATTTTGTCATTGATGTAAACTGAATAATTACATTTTTCGTTTATTTAAACGGACTTTGTTTAAAATAAATAGGAATATCCGTAAATTACGTAACATTATTATTCAACTATTATCCCACCCCGCTGTAACGCTCCGTAACACTGTCACACATACTCACCCCTCAAAATTACATAATGCATAGCTTTGACCAACCCTCCTTAATTGTATTTAGGGACTGTCCATAAATCACGTGCACATTTTTCTTAAAATTTTTCCTTCCCCTCCTCCATGTCCCGGTTTCAAGTTTCTGTAACCCCTCCCCTCTTTGGACGTCCAACAAAACTCACCTCCCCAAAATCTTTACCACTTTATGAATAATAAAATGTATAACATTTAATGAAACGAAAGACGTCCATTTAAGTTCAACCCGTTGTCTTTGTCCAACTTGTCATAACCCTTCCCCCCTTCCAGTATGGACGTCATTTATGGATAGCTCCTAACGAGTAAGAAATAATACACAGCACTGGGTGATGAACGCTGCATTTTATTAATTATAACGTACAGAAACGGTATGGTTCATTATGTAACACTTCAGAAACAAAAATGAATCATTCTGTAACCCGAGTAGAGACCAGTATCAAGTAACATTTTTATGAACCTTCCCACTCCGTTATAAAAATTATCTGCATACCCACCCACCTCCGTTAAGTAACTTGTGAATAACCCCCATTTTTATGTTATATGTTACTGTAATGATTAATATTCATATTTACATATCGTAGTTTATATAATAAATTAATCATAATATAAATATATTGTAAGTATAAAAAGTCTATGTATACCGTCGTAAATGTTTATTTTACTGTTAAAAATTTTCAAAAGATCATAAAAAGTAACCTATGCTTCATTTTATTGAGACTTTGTTACAGTGATTTATAAACAAAGTATACACCACAGAAATAAAATATGCTGTATATACATACAGGGCATAAACATATTTTACAAGCATTATAAGCAGAAAAAATGGCGTATACCCACAATTAGTATACAAAATATTCTGTACTCCCCCTTAAACTATTTACAGCTTCTTCAAAGGAAGACTGCGGAAAATTCATCGATAACGGTTCCAGATTCTAATTCGACAAAGAAAAAATTTTGTTACCATCATCATGAAAAACTTTTTTACTTAATATTTAAACTGTAGATACAGATTGTAGGTAAAATAAATTTAAAATTTTTATCTACATACTCCATTAGTATCAAATATATACTGCACAGTCACCTTTTATTTTTAACATATAAAAAACAAATCACATAGTTTTTATTTGGTCCCATTTGTGTCCTTAGTCAGCACACACTGCCGCCATATACATTACATATCATGTATATAAATTAAAAATCCCGGTAAGAACTGCAAATTTTGCATTTTGTCAACCTCATAACACAAGTTTGCTATCAATGTATGTACAAAAATGTAATTAAATGCTAAAAATTATCATCCATGCACATGTGCTATCCTATAACAAAAACTAGGGACTATGATATGTTTACTAGGACTTGCACTTGCATGACACATTTAAATATGGAAAAAAGGAAAAAAAATTAAGCATGAGCAAATTTGTTAATTTTGCTTAAATTATATTCTATAATTTTTGGAACAAATGAAAAATAATTTATAAACAGACATACAACAAAATATTTACTGACAACCAAAGAATGATTAGGAAGAATTTAATGGCATGCACAGGCATTTAAACACTTCACATAAAATGACTGCTGATGTCAGCATGCAAGTTAGTAGTCCAAGAATTCACTGAAACAAAAAAGCAATACATTAATATATGGTAAATGAAAATGCACTTAATTAAAAAAACTGCTATCTTGTCAACTGAAAATTAATAATAATAAATAAAGAACATCATTAAACTGTATTAAACTTAATGATCAAATTGAAATGTTTTGGAAAATGATAAAAAATTAACTACAATCAAACTATAGGATTATTTTTTATCTCAGTTTTACAACATATATACAAAAAAGTCAATATTAAATTTCACAAAAAAAATCAAAAAATAACTCTTCTTTTACACAATAACTCTAAAGAAAGGTATTCATACAAGATCAGTTTTAATTCATTCATTTTTCAAAGAAAAGTTTTAATGTCAAAAATGCATACAACAAATTTACAAAATGAACAGGACGTTTAATTTTTGCAATATGTTTATTAGCATTTCTTACCTAGTGGCAACACCAGGTAAATTTAATCGTCTAGAGGTAGCTTGCCTTTGTCTTGATAAGAAGGTCTGACTTGATGTATTTTGCATTAGTCGCTCTTCAGCTGCTTTTCTTTGTTTGTTAGCTCCCTAGATTAAAAAGAATTAAAATATAAATGCATAACTTTTATTTTTTCTCTAACATTTCACATTAAAGCAATGTTTATTTGCTTTCTTTAAATATTGTTGAATATTATTTTATCATATCTTAATATGTGATTTCAATTTGCATACTATTGTATATATGCTATTTTACATTTATATTATTTGTTTATTTGCTGTAATTGAATGTAAATTGCAGAAGAAAAATCCACTGAAAATAGACATTTATCATACCAAATTATAGAATGCAGTGGTTATTAATCTTTCCTCCATTTCTCTCATTGTTCTTGCCATTTCTGCTTCTTTCTAAATAAAATAAGAATAAAATAAACTTAAGAGAATAAACTTTTTAATTTATTGTCAAAATTAAAAGTTAATCTGCTATTTCAGCCAATATTTCAAGATATTAACTTTTACATGAAAAAATTTCTTAGAAAAGCTAGAAAAGAACAGTTCTTTTTCTAGCAGTTCTAACAACAACAAGCTTTACAGACAGCTCTTCTGATTATGAAAATAAAAAAGTGGTTACATCTATTGCAAAGTGGAGGAGACTCTCCTCAATTGGAAAAGGCAAGTCCTTTGGAGCACAAATTAGATGCAAGTTTGGAGTCACATACCCAAGTATCTCTTTGCATAAAAAACGTTACAAATGTTTTTAGAAAATGCAGATCAGAAGGGAGAGGAAAGTTGAAAGAATAAAGAAAGGAAGAAGCAGGAGAAAAAATTTCTTCCTATTATTTTTGAATAAGTAATAAATTATCATATTTTAAATGTAATTTGAAGTACATAAGTTGCTTTTTTCACTATTATTATAAAATTGGATGTATTAATGCAGTTAAAAGTAATTTGGATTCAAATTATTATTAAGTATATATAACTATTCTAAATAAATTTAAGTATATATACCAATATAGTAAATGATTATAATTTATGCAAAACAATCTGCTGTATTATCAGGCCAAAATATGATTGATAGTATGGTAGGTCATTGGCATTAATTAAAAGTCAGGTTTGTGGATTTATTGATTATAATTTAGTTATTTGCCATTCATTTCTCACCTCTAGATTTGCTATAACTTTCTCTTTTTCTAACAATTGATTCTTTAATGCAATCACTTCGGAACCACTAGTTGTATTTTTTTTTGGATCCAAAGTCTTAATTACCTACAACAAAAATTAAATTTGAAAAATTTTTCACACTTTTTTTTTCAAACTACAATGTTAATTGTACATTTTTGGCTTTTTCCAAGTATTTTCTGTAACGTTCTTCCATTGCTCTCATTTCTTCCTCTTTTTTATTGAGAGATTCTTGAAGCTGATGAGTTTTTTGAACTGAAATGTAAAATTTTATAAATGGTTATCACAAGTCACATCAAAATTCAGAATATTTTTTTAAAAATTCAGAATTTTACCTGCACTATCAATTTGATTTTGTAATGTTTCAATAGTGATATTTTTCTTTTGTAATTCCATTTCTGTTTCTTTCAATTTTCTAATTGTATTATTCAATTTGTGTCGTAGTTCCGTCCCTTCTTGGCTACTAACAGCTGAATGAGATTCTTGTAAATCTTGAATTTGACTCTGATATTCTAAAATCTTCTGATTTGCTAATCTATTTTAATAATTGAATATCAAAATGTTTATTAAATATTGTAAATAAATGACAAATTTAAAAAAATGAACAAATATAATTTTATTATAAAATAAAGATATACCTGTTTTCTGTTTCCAATTCACTTTGCCTCAGTCTTGAGTCATCCAACATACTTTGTAAAACTGCAACTTGCTGATCATCATTGCTATCCAATTTAAGTTTTAAAATTTTATTTTCATGTTGAAGACGAATTAATTTTTCTCTAGAAAATTAGATTTTATTCATTAGAAAAGAATAAAATATGCATTAAATAAATATATATATAGTTTATTAATATTTACTTAATTTCTGGAGGAACAGATTCTAAAAGTTCTGCTTCTGATAATAAACTAGATGGTTTTCCATTTTTATCACCATGCATTTCACTTTCTACAATATACAAAAATAGAAAATTGAATCATATCATTATTTATATCTTTAAATGTATTATACATATCTCAATTTCTTAATATAATGTTACACGATAGTCATTCCCAAATAAGAATCTAGTTTTTAAAGACATTTTTTTGAAGTCTTCCTTGAACTTACTTGTAAACACACTGTGTGTACATAATAATTTCCATCACAATTAGCATCTTATCAAGTTCATGGGATTATGCAATATTTAAAATTCTAAGAACAATTTTGTTGATTTTTTTTCTTCATGAAAGGAAAACTTTTTTCAAATTTGCTGTAATAACTGATTATAGAGGGATTCTATTATCACTATTGTTGTCTGTTACATGTTGTCTATATTACACAGTGACTTATTTCAAAATAATTATTAACCAGAATTGCCTTCATTGTTTTCAACATCTGCAAATTGAACTAAATAAGATTTATACTTAAATCTAGAGTTTATTTAGTGTGTTTCAAAATAGAAGTAAAGATATCTGATTTAGTGACTGATTTTGGAAATGCAATTCCTTTGAAACTCTGCTTCAGAATGATTCAATTCAATTTCTGTATAACAGCTTTTGAGTTTGTTGAATGCTGTCAGCCAGCAATGTTTACAAATATACAAATGAATATAAAGCAGTTAAGCTGGAATTTAGACTCAACTGTCACAACAAATTGTTTAAAACTCACTGAATGTCAAGCTAAAATTGAGTGATGTATATTTGTTTATACTTTAACATGTTAACTACCATCTGAAGCACCGGCAGTCTTACTAATTAGGCTGTACAGAGCCATCCGACCACCCGACGTCACTATAACCAATGTAGTTTCACTCAAGTTTAAATTATCCTGGCTACGTAAGACATTGCTTTACATCCTAGTGGTGGCTTCTCGTGCACATCTATAAACAACAATTAACACCTCAATACTACTTCCAGCAGTCAAAAGATTTTAATAATCTAACGTTTTTGGCCGTCTTTTAGAGGCCCTCTTCAGGATGAAACATTAAAAAACAGTTCTATCTTTTGAAGGATTCTAATAATCGAATACAGCTGTATTCGATTATTAGAATCCTTCAAAAGATAGAACTGTTTTTTAATGTTTCATCCTGAAGAGGGCCTCTAAAAGACGGCCAAAAACGTTAGATTATTAAAATCTTTTGACTGCTGGAAGTAGTATTGAGGTGTTAATTGTTGTTTGTAGTATATCGTTCCAGTTTACGTGTGTTAATTTTTTTCTCACATCTATAAAGTTGGCTCTGACCGCCAGCTGTCATATGGCCTCATGAAGTGGTTTGATGGCCAGTGGTCGTATGGCTCTGTACAGCCCTAATTAGTATGACCGCCGACACATCAGATGGCGGTTAACATGTTAAACATAACTTAGCTGCTGTGTACACTTTGTAGCACCCAAAATTCCAGCCTAAGTCTATGGCAGAGTTTTGCTGTGATATTCCTCAAAATATGAAAAACATGATCTGACCAGAATTTCAAATAGTTTATAATATTCACTGATCTGAATCTGATGTCCATACTAAATTTGTTCAAGGTCAAACAGATTCAGAGGAATTTACTTAAAACCAATGATATTTGAGTATAAAGAAATGAGCTATACTCACTCAGCTCAATTATTATGAAAAAGTAATTTAAAATAAAAGGGCACAAAGTTTTTGAAAGTATTTTACAGCTAAATATTACAACCAAGTCAATTAAGGTGCCATCCTACCACTGAGAACCTAGGATTAAAAATTCTTTAAGTACCATCTAAAATAAAACTCCAGTAAGTCCTTGCCCTCATATAAAGACTAACATTTTTGGTCCTCCTTCCTGGAACTTTGTCAGGTCAACAGTTTTTAGAATTGGAACATTTTTGATTATCTTCGCATAAAAGTGTGAGAATTTGAACCTTAACCAACTTTAATTTGACTTTAATCCATCAATTTTCATCGACGATGACGTCCTATGCGCTCAACAATTGTTGTCCTCAGTTACCTGAGAAAATTACCACTTACACTTCCCAATGATGAAAACGATGCACTCCTGCGATCTGCTGACCTCTTAGTCAGAAAATAACAGACGGATATCGAAACTGACGGCCAAAATAGTCAGTTATCACCTGTTCCTCATGGATTAATGTCTCCAACACATTCTCTGTGCCTGTGCCAAATTTTCCTGGATCTGATTTCACCATCGACCAACGGTGCCAGTGAGGACAAACTTTTCCTGACTATCGTACCCCAGACTTTTCCAATCTGGACCTTTCTGCAACCCTTCAAGAACGATAACGGACTGTGACTAAAACAACAACAAATTGACGAAAATTGAATAAAATCTATCATCACCTCAGGTACATCATCTACTTCAGTTATTTATCAACTCGCGAACCACTGTAAACTCTCGAATACTGCGAAATTAGATTAAGTTCACCCTAGTTTAATTATTATAATCCCAATTGGGATACTATCATATTGTAATATAATGTTTTACCTCCTGCCAAAAAATGTTGTTTCATTGACCTAGTCTTTTCGTGAGTAAATTCCGATGTGCTGTCTCTCACTCCATCTTGAATTCGTTTGCTCACACGCGTGATCATTCGTGCAACCTAAATCCAACCAAGCACTATCCATGTCAACCGAGACACAGTGGTGTCCATCCTGATGAGGCACTAATGAGGTGCCGACCCTCTGGTCACAAAAGATTTGTTAAGATAATCAAAAGAATTTTAAAGCATACTTTAAAGAATTTTTAATACTGTCACTCTAGTCTGAAGGAATTGTGCCCAGGACTAAATCCTGGCAGTTGGAGATTTCCATTTTCCATAAGTAATCATTTCTAAATATGTGTAGCCATGTCCATCACACCTAACTACCCCAATTGTGAGCTTGGCTGAATCCACAATGGATATTAAAAAAGGCATTCTTGGAACAAATAGAACAGAAAGAGTAAAAAAATTCTAACATTGCAAATACCAATAGTAATTACCAATATACTAGTAGTAAATTTTTCAATTATTTGTAATATAACTATTATATTATCATTACAGTTGAAGTAAACTTCAAGATATTCTTTAAACAGTTTTTAATAATGAATATGCAGTAGAAAATCTTTTAAGTTTGGAAATAACTTCATATAAAGTAATTTTACTTATATTTTTATAAATAAAAATTATTTACTTAACTGTATTACTAATAATATATAAATTGCTAATACTCAGGATGTTATTTTAATCTAAATCTTTTTTCTGTTTATTATTCTGATATTAAAATAAATAAATAAACAATACAACAAACATGCCATACAAAATAATTAAAAATCTTAGAATATTAAATTTATCAAATTTAACAAATAATTTTCCTAATAATTAAATACTATTTTACCATTTTTAAATTGTGTGCATCGAAGATCTTCGATTGTTTCTTTCAATGAATCCCTCTCAGCAATCAATCTCTGAAAATTTAAAACAATGTTTATAGTTAGAACCAAGTAATTTATCTGGATTAAAAAAACTATTCATAAAATTTAAATACTAACATCCTTTTCTTGTTGTATAGATACAAGTTTTTCTGAAAGTCTCTTATTTTCAAAATCTGCTTTATCAGCTTTCCTACTTTCTTCAGAAAATTTTGAATGGAGTTCTTGAAGTTGTTTTTTGTACATGTCAATCTGAGATTTCAGCATTCCAGCTCTTTTGACCTCCTGTATTAAGAAAAGTATTCTTTTTATTTGTTTAAAAATGTATTTATTTCAAATTATTATAAAATCTCTATTAACCTCTTCTAATTCCATGTTCTGTTGTACATAAGATGTATTTTTGTCTTCCAGAAGTTTTACCTGACGTTTAAGATCACTTAAATCCTCTAAAATGAAATCAAACAATTATAAACATTAAATGTTACATGAAATTTTGTTTACACCAATCTGAATATCATCTAAGTATTAAAATTAGTACAAAGTACATCAAGTCTTTTTCCTTCTCATTAATCTAATTAGACATAAATACATATTTCATATTAAAAATCCAACTTCTCATACTAAAGAAGTCTTATAGTCTCTTCGTATTATACATTTTAAACCAGCTTAAATAATGAATTCAGCTCAAACACCATAATATGAACAAAACCAACTAAATGTTGATTTGATTTAAATTTGAGAAAGTGAATCAACTTAAGTCCATTTATGATTCAAAATCATTATAAATATTCTCTGAGGTCCAATCTTACATTCAAAATATGGCAAAAGTAAACAAAAGAGTATCTAGTTCAATTGAGGAGAAACATACAGAAAATGTCCAATGAAGAAATCTGCCTTGTAACTAAATTAAAAAATATAAAATCTTTTAAAAATTTTTATTTAATTTAAAAGAAAGCATTTTAAGATATGTATAAAAAATAATAATTAAATTCTACTCCTGCTAGAAGATAAAGTTTGGAAATACCAGGATAATGAATGTGCTTGAAAAACTTTCATGTTCAAAGTCATGCATATTTTTGAAAAGTCAGAAAAAACTGAATTAACTTATGATTTTTTCTTCTGATTTAATCGTAGATGAACACCATTCTTTAAATTGGAAGAGTAGACAATAAAAATAGGAAAATTGATTAACTATTATAAGTTAGTGCATTATATAAAATTTATGAAATGTTGACTTAATCTGTTGATGTGATTTAAACATGCATAAACAAAAATTTGCCCAACATAGAAATACAATCAAAATTCCAAAAGATATGTCCTTAATGTGTAATAACCAACTGAAATAATTTCTTGATTTATGTCAAGTATAAAACAGTAATTTAATATCACAAAATAAGGCAAAGTTAAGTAAAATTTAGAGCTAACAAGAAGTGGTTAGGTCATAGTCCTCAGTGATTTCAATAAGTTTGCATGGATAAGCCTTGATAGGAACCTTTATTGAACAAAGAAAGAAAGCATGATTCTCAAATATTTTCAAGAAAATCAAAGTTAAGAAATTCCCAGCAATTTTTGAGTAAGTTTTGCAGAACCTTTCATCAACAATTGCGTGGTTTGGTGGCAGTATAGCTTAGTTTTTTAAACATGAATCTTATTTTATAGTTTATGGCTTTATTATTCGTATGCTATAATTTTATTTTTACTTCTTGCTTGTTTTATTAGCTATGAAAAGGGAGAAATAAACTTCTTTTAAATTAATGTCACCTCTTTGGTTTCATATTGTTTATAAGAATTATTTACTGTCACATACATATAACAATTCATTGTGATATTAGAGTTAATTTTAACTAATAATTTTTTGAATTTATTTAATTGCTTAAAATGTTGAATTATTCTTAATATTCTTATATTCCAAAATGTAAAACAAACTTTAATTTTTAACAGAGCAATTCCAAAAACAAAATTTTCAAAGAAGAAAAAATGAACATTTTTAACAGAAAATAAATAGACAAAATGTATAAATTCATGTAATTTACAATTACTTTATATAAAAAATTGTAGTTAATTTAGAAAAAAGTTGTTCATTCATTGAGACAAAAACCAGAGATATCATAAGTAAGAGTACAGAATGCACTGCCACCTAACCACATAGACTTTGACGAATGACTGACTTTGGCAAAAGTTAGGTAAGTTACTCAGGATTTTTAACTTCAATTTTCTTGAAAACATTTCAGAAGCATGCTTTCTCTTTTTGCTCAATAACATTTTATGAATAAGCCTTGATCCACAAGACATTACTGAAATCTCTTAAGACCACTTGTAAACTCCCTTTGTAAGATTTATACATACTATATGAAAAATATATCTTTTTAAAATATTGACTGAAAATTATTTATATATTATTTACATTTCTACTATACAAGTACCAATCATTCATTTTTTTGTTGCTGTAACTAGAGATTAACTCCAAACAATCTTTTAAAAACCTTCCATAAACTTGCATAGTAATCTAATTTTTAATTTTACATGGACAATAAAATTTCTTGTTCTTTTACATTAAAGATAATATCTTAAAATTACTCAAAATTACACCAGAATAAATTGTTATCACATTGTTTATGTTTGGACAATTAATGCAGACACTATTATGGCTGACAGTTGCAGATACTTTTTAAAACAAAATTTCATAACTAACTTTTAAAATTTCTCTTTAATTTACATTTTGACTAAAAACATATAATAATAATAATATTAAAATTGATATTAATTGAAGAATTACTATAAAATGGATGAGTGTGTTGCAAAATGCACAAAAAGGAATCAGGCCTACATTTGTATTATAATATAACAATTGTCATATTTAAATTTTTATTAAAACATTTTGCATTTTAAAAATGATGCACTGATTAGGATAACACATAAATTTGAGAGCGCTTCTAATAATCTAATATGAATAAAAATATTTTTAGAAATAGTTAACTCTCTTGCAACCCCTCACACCCTCAATTTGAGGATGGGTGTTAATGAATTGGTCTAAAAATTAAAACAAAGTGAAAAAATGATAAATAATTGTAATAGAGATGGGCAAATACTATCTGCAAGGAACTGGAATACTAGGAAACATCCAAGATTCAAAATCTGAATTATTACATGTTGATAAATATAAATTCAAATACAGTAGAGCATCGATTATCCAACTCAATTGGGGACTCGGGTTGGTCGGATAACTGAAAAAATCGGATAATCGAAAAGAATGAAAAAATACATTATTAGTATAGTATATTAGCATATTAGTATAGCCCATGTAATTAGTATATCGCTATTAACATACTTCACGTTGAATTTTCATCGATGTTAAGCCTAACAAAATTTTTTTTAAATTAATAATTGTAGCTATTGTATCGTTAAAAAATATTTTTAAATTTTTGTTTGTAGAAAAGGGCTAGCAGAATTACAATTTAATAAAAAGTAAAACACATCTGGATACGAGTCCAATTTTCTTGCCATGTCTAATCACCAGGAACAACTATTTCCATTGCAGAGACAACCTTTCTTTAGAGGCTATGCCTCTGCACAAACATGTAAAACAGTTTAAAATGTCCACAGGTGACAATCCCAACACAATTAAAAATATAATATTTGTTTGTAGAAAAGGGCTGGCAGAATTACAATTTAATAAAACATAAAACACATCTGGATAGGTTGTGCCTTTTTTCTATGTTCAAAAACGGCTAAAACAAATTAATAATAAAATATTAAATAAATTATATAAGGTAATTAAGTTCTATAGGTATTTGGGGTTTTTGAGTATTTGAGGCAGTCAATATTCAATCTATGTTTAATGTTAGAATTTGAGAAAAATGATATTCGTGCATCACTAAATTGTAATTTAAACTGTAAAGTTCATAATTTTTTAAGTAATAGCTTTATACCTGATTTCAGACGTTTAGCACTAATTAAATTAATAGAAACAATATATAAAAATATGCCATTCATATAACAAATAAGTTTCCAATTAATTTTTTTTAATTTAATATTTTATAAAATTAGAGAAATTAGGGAAAAATAATTTTAATAAAAATTTATAAAGATAATACTTTTGTAAAAGATTTATTAATGTATAACAAATTAAAAAAACTATTTTTCTCCTTATGGAAGTCACAGTTTTACATCTTCAGTTAATAACAGATTAAATTATTTTATTTTATAAAATGTTTTATTTTAAATTTAAATAATTAAGTGATTCTAAAAAAACATTTTGTTCTAATTATTAATTAACTAAAATAATAATTTGTTCTTAATTAATTAACTGTTAATCAATTAAAAGGTTGTTTTCATAACTAATGTTTTAAAAATTGAAAATGAATATATTGATGATTCATTTGAAAGAACATTCAACTAAAAACTGTTAAATAGATTAGCAAACATTTTCTATAATTTAATCATTTTGCTCGTTTATGATTTTTCATGTAGTACACACAATCTTTTAAATGAGTATCCACAGATATGGGTACACAGTTACTCACAGTACCTGGACAATAGCTTTATATGCAACACCTGGATACAAAAAGGTGCCAGATGTTCAGCACTAATTAATAGAAACAACATATGAAAATATGCCAATAATGTAATTTTCTCTGAAAACAATTCAAATAACAGAAGGTAAAGTACAAAACATTCATCTGCAACAAAAAATATTCAGAAAAAAATAAAATCAATTCATTTCTGAACAAAAATATTTATCATTTAAAAAACAAAATTTACATCTATTTTAGAATTACAGCTTCCCATTTTATAACATATTTTAAAAATAATCATTACAATAAATAAACTTAAATTTTCAAACTCTCCTTACCTAATTTTTTCTTGAAAGACTCAATTGTTGTTTCATATTTTTCCTGAAATAAAAATTATAATATTGAAAATATATTTTTAAGTTCCATACATGTATTAAATGATTTTATTAATAAAGTTCAGTTATTTTTAAATTATAAATACTTTTTTATTTTTCAATTTGTGGCAATACTTACAACTTTATCAGATGTATGCCTTAGTACATCTAATTCATCTTTCAAAATTCGAGCTTCTTCAGCTAGTTTCTGCAAATCATCATTCTGAATAAAAACAATAGTTATAAATAAGTGGCTTTATAAAATTAAAATTTTGTTGTTCTTAATAAATATACTAACCTTTTGACTAAGTTCAAGAATTTCTTTCTCTTGTAATTCTGATTTCATTTTATATTCATCTCTTGCTATAAAAGAAAATTAAAATAAGGAACTATATAATTAAATTAACTATTAATAAATATACTAAAAAAAGAAAAACTCAATTTCAAATAGAAAAAATATATTTAATAAGCCAAATAACTATCACTGGATTACATTTGGACTCTAGTATATCTAATTAATGATTAAATAAAGTAATTTGGCTGAAAAGTAAGTGATTAGATTTCTTACTCTTCAATCAATTCTAATTCAACAACAATAATTAACCATATCATAGCACAAATATAATCTGGCAATACTTATTTAATTTATTGAATTATTCAAGTTGTTTGGATATACTTATAAAAGAAAATATACTTGGTCTAAGATGCAACTAAGCTAATATTTTTCAATAATATATTTTTATATTACTAAATAACACATGTTCAATATCATAAAATTCAAACATCTTTTATTTATGAATTTTTTTCCTATAGATAATTTATATAAATCAACTGCTTAAAGTTTATATATTCAATTATTATTTATTAAAATCACTAATGTCCTAAGAAAAGACAACTGTCTGTTCGTGTTACATTGTCTTTAATAACAGAAAAACTTGCTAGTACTTTTAACATTGTAAGACAGTGAAAAGTTTTTGTATCTGTGTATGTTCTACTTTGAACTACAGAACATAAAGACAACATTAATAGTGTTGAAAGTGCAAGCAAATTATTAATGTCCATATTCACAATCTGATACACTTATTGATAATGTTAAATTGACAGCAGTCACAATTTAATTAAGAAGTTAATTCTAAGTTAGATCTTTTTTGTATTTGCCAAAATTGTTGAACTTTTGAATTTATCAACTCAAAAATTAATTAGTTTAAGCTGTACTGATTTTCAGATTAAATTAAAATTTCTTTGTAATGTACATTGTAAGTTATTGAGTGATTCATCTTACAGAGGAAAATAACATCAGATTTGAAGAGGAGATATATTTTTTATAATTTGAACAAAAGTATATCTCTTTTATAGAAAATAACAACGTAATATAGCAAAATCTGCTTATTATAATCACAGGTATTGTCATCAATTATTTAATGTTATATTTTAAGATATGCAAATTCTGTTAAAATACACAAAAAAATTTATTAATTAGATTTCCATTTTAGTTATCATTATTTACAGGTGAATAAGAATTTTTAACTTACATTGCACCAGTAACCATTACAATCTGTGACTGATAACACAACTGTTATGTCTTGCTTTAAATGTTAATTATTAACTAAAAGCATAATACCAGGGTAGCCAAGCTCCTTGATAGTCCGAGCCATTTTTCAAAATTTGAAATTTTTCGCGAGCCGCAATTAAATACGTATTAAAAAGGTATGCAAAAAATTCCAGATTACAAATTATATCCGTAGCAAGAGTGATACAAATTGTTTCCTCCAGAGCACAATCTCAACTGTCCATTGCAATGACAGTTTAGAAATTCAAAATCGGTCTAGAGTCGGTCGATAACGGATGATTACGCCACTGTTTATGTTCATTCGCGCAGTTTTCGATGAGTCATATCATTCTTAACTTGGACGGAAATGAAATTTGTTACAACGTTGCACTTAGTCTTTCATATTTGTTGTTAGTAATTTAAAAGACATTTTGAAACACATACGGAATGATAATAATTTTTTAAAATATAACAACACAAAAATGAAAAGGGAACTCGGGTACATTTATTGAGAGCCACAAATAATCCTTCAAAGAGCCGCATGTGGCTCGCGAGCCACAGGTTGGCCACCCCTGGCATAATAGTTAAACTGCTGGAATTCCTTACTTCAATTATATGTAACTGTATGTAATTTTATGCATGAATTACTAGTAATTAATAATTATAATATATCTACAACTTATACATTAGTTGTCTTAATATGTCATTTTTAGCCCACCAGTGGCCAAGCAGTCTTCGTACTCTGAACACTGGGAGTTCGGTTGTGGGTTTGCACCTCACTCGAATGAAATGGCCACGTGGAGTTTTCTGGGTTTTCTCCACATCTGTAACGCCTAAAGCCCTGGTTAAACCATGCAATTTTCAGCCATGCAGGTGACCATAACTGCAACAAGCATGAGTCATGCGTGTCTTCTCATGGTCACACATTGTTCATTGACATTGCAACTCAGAAACATGACCCTATAATAAACAAAAAAAATTACAGTCGCTTGTTCTTGACTACTTTTGTGAGTAAGTTTACCAACATTTTACATTCTACTTCAGAGTATTTATGGAACTTTAGCCACTTTTTTTATTAAAATGGCAAGCAGTTCCTTTTCTGGAATGAATAAAAGAAAAAAAAGCTATTATTTTGATAGAGCTGGTGAGAATACACAAAAAGATAAAATCTTCGATAAAATGGAGAATTAAAATCCCACAGGTATTCATGAGACTGAATAAGCTTGATCAATCTTGATTCTTTAAAAGTATAAATCCTCTAACTATCTGCCATGAGGATGAACTATCTTCAATGTTGTCACCGTATGACATGGCACAAAGGCGTCTGCTGATTGGATGCACATTTACAATTGGTGTGAGTAGAACAAACTTTTTGTTTCTAGTCGCGGTTGCAGTTGCACCAGTTTTCAAAGGGGGTTTACTAGTTAACGAGAACAGCCGTCATGGTTGTGGTCGCCTGCATGGCTGGAAATCGTATGGTGTGACCAGGCTTAAATAGGGGCCAGTTTCCCTTTGAAAGACCTCCTGGAAGGCATCCCCTAGGCAGATTGCACAAGTGTTGTGTTGCCATAACTTAACAACAAACAAACAATACATCATTTTAATGTCAAGAGTCAACAAAACCAGAATTTTCACTAATTGTAATCTTATTTACTAACACTGATCAAAATAAGCAAGTCCTAGTGATTACAATGATATATTCAACAATAATATAATAAGTTAAACAAAATCAAGGTATTTTAAATTAAATATATAGAGAGTCTGATGCAATTGTGAAAGTAAATGATCAAACAACAAAACAGTTATATAATTGTTATGAAAACTTCAAAAGGCTACAAAAGAAAGAATGATAAACTAGATATGTTTAAATAATTATCATAATCACATCATACAACTTGACAAAAAAATTATTCAGTGGAAACTACAAAATTGTAACAGTGGCCCATTAATATGTAAAAGCTAATTACAATAAATTAAAATTCAGATACAGACTTCACTAGTTTGCCTTTTTCTACTTTTCTTGGAAATGTTAAAAACAAAACAGTTCCTATTTGTCTACTTGAAATGTTGAATTGAATCTATCACTTTTAAGGATTAGCTGGAAATTTGAAATTAAGTATATAACTTCACATATTGAATATCAATTTTATTCTAACCAACAATTAAAATCTAATTATAACATATTCAAAGTTGTACCTATGGTATAAATCATGTTTTGTATCTTCAATATACATTCAGTTTACATACCTGTTTCTAACTTATATAATTCATCTTGCATCACTTCTAATTTATGTTGCATCTGTTGAAATCTTTTTCCTGTTAAAGTGCTGTTCAAATTTTAATAATACATTAATTAAATTAAATAATCTGATTACATTTTAAAATTTAAATTCAAATAATAATTCTAAATAATGATACTTTTGAATAAGGAAAATACAAGAAATTATATTTATTGATGTTTTAAAAGTTGTGAAATTTTTACCTTGGGTCTTCTAAACTTTCAATATGGTTTAATCTTTCTAATAATTTGTCATTTTCTGCAAGTAAACTAGCCTTTTCTTCTTGCAATATAGCAACCTATTAGAAAAGAATTTAATAAAAGCATCAGAAATATTAGTTAATTTACAAACAATATAGAAATAAGAATGGAAAGTAGAAAATTATGAGTATATTAATTTCTGTATCTGTGTGCAATGTAAGATTTTATTGCTTTTATATGTGTAATTAATAATTTATTACAGAATACGAAACTATTAAAAAAAATGTGGTCAGTCCGTACTGAACATATAAGATAAAACAGATTTGAAATTGAAATAAACTGCAAATTAAATTTAGCATTATTAGTGCATTCAAGAAAAAATATTTTTCTAAACTATGTATTTAACAAAATTTAAACTTATGTCATCAAGATTATATTATCATAAAAAAAAGTCAAAATCACCTTTCTTTTCCTGAAACACTCATGAGATAATTAAATTGAATAGAAAAACCTATTTTAAATTAAAGCAATAATGACAGCTTTTATAAAACAACTTTTTTTTGGAGTATGAAAAAGTAAAAATGTAATTTCTGTATACATGCTGTTGACGTGTTTTTATTCTCTTTGTTATATATTACTCTCATCTGCTACATCTGTGTATTGTGTTGTCTCCTTGTGTTCACTTTTCCTTTGTATTACCTGTAACTATATTTCAGTGTACACAATTAAAATATTTAGACATAGAAGATTTGTTTATTTGCTATTATCTGACAGGTTATGGGCTTACCAGAATTGCTTACCAGGAAAGAACCTCTAGTATAAGAAATAAGTAAATAGATTCATTGTCTACTACAGTATTGTGGGTCCTAGTGAATTCTCAAATAGTGAGAAGTTTAACAAGATCAATTATGAACTTTGGAAAGTATAGATGAAAAGTGTTCTTGTTTATAATAATAATCTGTGGCAATAAATTGACAGTACTAAAATAAAGCCATAAAAAAGCCTAGAGTGGATCAAGCAAAATACAAAGACATTGGCACTAATAAATCTAAGCAGTAGTCTTGGGCAGTTAAACCTTGTGAAAAATGCTAATGTCCAAGAAAGCAGGAGACAAACTTAAGGAAATATTCCAGTCACAAGGCTCTGTTAGAAAAACAACATTGTGCAAAGATATTATGAATGGGAAAAGGGCAGAATATGACAATTATGCAATACATAAATGAATTCAATACTGATCAAGTAAAGAAAGTGAGAATAGAAATTTCAGAAGATACTACCAACTATGCTTCTTGGATCAATACCAGATAAATATGAAAATTTTAGTATAGCCATAGAGTAATCTTTTGACATACCATTGCGCAAAAACCTTAAAGTAAAATTTAAAGAAAAGGAAGCAAGACAGAGGGAATTCATTACAAAGCTAAATGAAAACAAGAGAAGTAATGCATTATTTTCAAAGGGAAATTCTGACCATGAAAAGCAGTCATGAATGAACTCAAGAGATAGTAGTACAAGATTCAGAGGTCAAAGGTTTGATGGAAGGTCTAACAACTGCAGTAAAAATGGCCATATCAGTAGAAACTGTAAATCAAAAATAAAACAGACAGACATAAAAATTATTAGCAGTGCCCTTATTATACTTGCATGCAACATAGAATTCACAAATGGATAAAAGAAAAAAGTGGTATCTAGATAGTAGTGTGACAAGATGTGTAACAACAAATATAAATTTTTAACCTTAGATCAAATCAAACAGTCTAAAGTACAGTACATACTGCCATACAGGTTTTGTGCAAGCAGTTGACATATGTGATGTGAGTCTTGATTTAAAATATTTCTCCACTGTGTGTTGTGCCATGTTAAATTTTTGTTGATGTTAAGTCTAACGAAAGTCACATTTTAAAAAAAAATAATCGGGGTTATTGTATCATCCAAAATTATTTTTCTATTATGCACAAACAAAATAGATATATTAATAAATGTAAAAACAAAAAAAATTATATTTTGAAAGTTAATTTTAATATAAAAATTATAACAACTAGCGACATCTAGTTTCAAAAAAGTTCCAATGCTGAAACGAGATATCTCGGATCCACCAGTCAAGGTCATCATGTTGCAAACCAAGATATGTCAGGAATATCAGGGAATAGGTTAATATCATATTATTAGGAGGTGCAAAATACTTTACAACATTTATTGATGAATGTACATGTTATATGGAAACTATAATGCTGAAACATCACTCAGATATTCTCCAAGTGTTCAAATCTTATAAACAAAGGGTCGAAAAACAAACAGATCGTCAAATTAAAAAGCTACATACAAATAATGATAGAGAAAATTTACCAAATGAATTTAACAAATTCCTTGAAGAAGAAGGAATAGTATGAAAACTAAGTGTTGAGTACACCCCACAATAAAATAATGTGGCAAAATGAGCAAATCAGACCCTTGTCAAAATAGCAAGGTGCATAATGTTGCAAATGGGTCTTCCTCAGTCACTATGAGCAGAAGCAATCAATACAGCCACATTTCTATGAAATAGAAGTGCAACAAAAACCTTCATTGAAAAAACACAGAATGAACTGTGGTTTAAGCATGAACCTTACATTGGTTTCTTTAAAATCATCAGAAAAAAGCTGTTGCTGGATAAGACTTGAAAACAAAGAAAATTTCAGCCAAAAGGTGATGAGTACATGTGGGTTGGATACTCAAATGAGTCAAAAGACCAGGAAGTAAGATTGTCATCATATGACATGAGATTCATTGAAATAATCCACACAAGTGAGACCTTTCTAAAGAGTATCCCCACTGAACTAGATTTTGCTGCTACAACCAAATGGTGTGTACAATGCTACTAAATCAGGCAATGGAGATGAACAGTGAGAACTGTACAAAACTAGATGAAGAGTCTGACAATGAACCTAACTTGGTTGAATATCTAGAAGAAAATCAAATGAGAAATTAAGGAGAATCACTTGAAAAGATGAAAATGAGATCACCCAAAAATTGAAATAACACGTAAACCCATAAGACTGAGAAAAGTTTATCAAGTAATTAAAGGTAAAATTCCAGACTCCAAACATGTATCTGAATCTATCTACCTTCTCAGCAATGTTATCTATTTATAATAATAAATCACACACACCTGAATTTTTTTACCGAGTTATTTTTGTTTATTCCAAACGTTTTCGGCCAATTCGTATAGGCCATCTTCAGGTTTTAATAGTTTTCGTTGTATCTGAAGCATTAAATCAAGAAGCTAGAGAGCTGTGACTAACCACCATGAAAAAGGAATATAAAGGCCTACATGAGAACAACATATGGATTTTAATATCCAGGCCAAACAATAAGGAAGTATTAAAAATTGTTGGATATTTAAAATGAAAACCAACTAACAGGTTGACGTAGAAAAGTAAAAAATCATGACTTGTAGCTCAAGGTCATGCCCAAGAAAGAGGTATAGACTATGATGATGTTTTTGCTCCAGTCACTAGATACAAAATAATAACAACATTATTAGCAGCATCTGTAAACGAAGAAATGCACATACATCAGATGGAAATAACTTCTACTTGCATGCAAGATGATTTATAGAATGAAATAAACATGGAGCAACCTGAAATGTTCATTCAGAATAAACAAGAAGATAAAGTCTAGAAACTATTGAAATCTTTATATGGATTAAAATAGTCTGAAAGAAAATGTTACAAGAAGCTAGATCGCTTTATCACAAGTATCGAAGGAGGGCATACAGCAGCTGATCCCATTTATGTATTTGGAAAGGAAGAAAATCGAATAATACTCATTACTTACATAGATGATTTAATATTGACAGTGAAGAAGATTAAAAAACTGGAGATCATTAAATCAAAACTGAAGTCAGCATTTAAAATAGTACACCTAGGGCTTATAAGTAACATTTTAGGCATTGAAATTAGAGAAGGTCTAACAGGTAGCATTCATCTGATGCAAACAAATTAAAGCAAAAAATAGGTGAAGAGATTTAACTTACAGTGAGAAAACTGTCGCTGCATCGATAGAGTCAAATATAAAAATTTTTTAATATTATTTTTTTATAATTTTTTTTAAAGGAAATGGGTCAAATTACAGATGAGAGTTCACTGAAAGTCTAATCTATCTGGCAGACATGACACATCCACACATTGCTTTTGCTGCAAGCACATTCAAGCACAATAACTCATTTATCAAAACACATTAGATGTATGAGATCCAGGATTTTAAGGATATTAAAATCCATTTTTAAGAAATTTTTATTTAACATCCATCCATCACAATCATTAGAAAACATTGCACCAAACACGGATCAAATGACAGCTTTACTATCAACAAATGAATGAGAATCTTAACAGTCAGTTGCAACAAGATAACATCTCATTGAGAAAGGAGGGAAAAGTGACTCCATGATGTCAACAAAAAAGTCATCATGGAGTCACTGAGCTCGCACACCTGCAAAAGTAGCCTTTGTGGTCTAAACAACCGAAGATCGTGTGACTAGATTCCCACGCATTTCATATAAAAGGTGGAGACACCAGAAGTTCTGGGCATTTTGTCATAATGTGCCAACGAATTAACATTTGGTCATAAGTGCTCCCATAAAAGTGAAATACTGTCCAAAAAAAGGAAATACAAAGTCCTCGGAGAAGACACTCACCATTCTTTCAACAGTGAATCCTCATCAAGATGATAGAATGATGTCTTATCAATGACCAACAAAGAATTGATGTATTTTGTTAAAAAGTTGTAAACTCGCTCTCTGCGTACAAGAAAGTAGAATAGCCTCACACCATAAGAATTTTAATAGTCACTGCCTTGTATGATTTTACATTTAATTGCATTTAACTGCCTATAATATCTATACCTATAATACCTATGTATATCTTAGAGTTAGAATATATTTAACTTTTATTTGTTTTGTTAAACCTGTCTACCTGTCATTATTTGGCTCCTATTGACGTACCTATCAACCTCTACACTCAACTATTTGCCCTCCTAACCATCCAATGACAACGTGAGTGGGTTTTTTGAACCTGTGCCGGATAAGTGGCATTGAGGGAACCACTTATTGAGTTTCCTCAATGCCCCCGGCTTCTCGTAGATGACTGCAAAGTAAGTTTTGAGATATCTGAAAGGTACTCCTCACTAGTGATTTTAAATTAAAAATTCTTCATTCCTCTACTGTACACAATTTAAAGAAATTTCAAAGTGTGTTAGATTGATCACTTGGTATTATAAACCCTTACATAAGATAACCTTTGTAGTTATATAAATCAAATACTATAATATAATACAATAGAGGGGTTAGAAGTATGAAATAAGCTAATAATTGTAATGTTTGTTCTTATTTTTTGCCCAGGCAATGCTGAGTTTACCTGCTAATATTAAGATATAAATGCAAAATTTACAATACCTGCATGTCTAACTCATGACATCTCTGAGTAATTTGCTGTTTAGCTTCTGTGGCTATCTGTAACTCTTCTAATACTCGTTTTAAATGTTCATTGAGATCAGCAATAGATTCAGCTGAGTAAGTACTAGGAATTTCTTTAGTCATTAACTGAAAAACAATTAGATTACACAATATTAATTAATAACAGTAACAGCAGCAAATGAATTAAATTAGAATATTACAAATTACCTCCTGAATAGCATTCATTACAACATGCTGAACACTTTCTTCCAATCCCATTATAGTTTCAATATATTCTGTAATAAAAATGTCTTAATTGTAACTCAAAGATATCAATAAAACAAGCATATTTTCATTTTTAAAATAAAAACAGTGAAATTCTGTTAACACGGCATCATTGGGACCAAAGCGGTTCCAGCTTATTGAATTTGCTGATTTATCAGACAACAGAATTTTTTTCTGGTTTTTTCAATTTCCTGAATACAATTTCACATATCTTTGCATCAAAAATTACAAATCTGTCTTTTATGATTGTTTAACATGCCATTTCAATTTTTTCAGATTATTCCTATCCTTAGTTGGTTTGAAACAAAAATACTCTAATCTTACTTTGTGCTTTGTACACTTTTTCTATATATACTTCAGTAGCGTGCCGTCCTTGGAAGCGGTGCTTCCCCCACTTCCAAGTATTTATATTTTAGAAAATACATATTATGCAATTATTTTCATATTTGAATGTACTTTGAATTAATTAAAATTTATATTTTATTATAACTGCATTATGTATCTTATTACAAATTTCTATAATACATATGAAAAAACTGATACGATTGCTATTGTATATTTGAATATAAATTTGTATATGGATATTCCCAATGGAAGCACCTTATTGTCAAATATGGGACAGCTTCCACAGTGAAAATATTTGAATTGAAAAGCTGTCAGATTATAGGCATTTGCACATGCGCTTTACAGAACACCAACCTCACATGGTTTAGCAGGTGGATGCTACACACCAAAATATCATGTAATGCTTCCAATGATTCTATAAAGGACCAGTTATGGGCTGTTAGCTGCCTGCCTACTAGATATTTGGTTGCCCTTGCCCCATTATGTGAATCACAAGTAGATTTATAAGTTAACCCAACCAATAGAAATTTACTAGCATGTTTTTACGATAGTTCTGTATAGTCCTGTCAACTGACAGGAGTTTAAAAAAAATCCATTAAAATATTTGATATATTTATTCTGCTTTCGCTCTCCCATCTTGTATTACTTGTAAATTTCAATGTTAAACCAGTGATATGATTTAGTATGTCCCATCTATAAGGGGATGCAGAAATAACATGTACATTCTTGTACAATGTTAAAAAATTAACTATTACTTTGACAGCATCATTTACAACTAAATTTAATGAATGAGACGCACAGGGTACATTTTAAAAAAGCTCTAGAATTTATATTCCTTAAATTTACGATTTATGTATCCGTTTGTCATAAAAATTTGTCTTTCCACTTCTTTCCCAAGTATTCAAGTACAATGTAACTGGTTTCAACTTATTTCTACTTTATAAGTAGTTAAATAATTAAGAGATAAGGAATTAGAGACATAAATAAAACCCTGCTGAAAGAGCCGGAATTTTACTTAAACAAAAGCTTAACCAAACCAATCCCTAGCCGAGTACAGTGGAAAACTGATTTCTTCATAATATTAGATGTAATAAAGACAGAAATTTTTCCAGTTCAATGAGAGATGAGAGTAACTGAAAAGTTGTAAATTTTAGAAATTTCCATGGACATCTGGTCCTAAAACAAATTAAAAAAGAAATGACAGACAATCTATTAAGTTTAACATATTTAGATTTTTACAGCTATGGTGAGAAATGTTTAAAATTTACAAGAACCCTGTGATGCGACAAAACAGGCATTTGACATTGATCAGTATCGGCACCCTTGGGATTTGGCAGCCCTGCACACCTACCAGGACAGTCTCCAATTCCATCCATTAGCCACTTGTAGGGAGCTACTTGACTAAATGGGTTGTTTTAAGATTTAAAAAGTAATGAATATTTTGTTATTTTTATGTACATTTCTTCACAAAGGTATATTTAATTATAATTTTCTTTAAAAGTATATTCATACAATTGAAGAGTATTTTGTACCAGGTATGTATATCCACCACACATTTTATTTCACCAAGTAAGATTTATAATTCTATTTTTAATTTTAGCCCTCACATCATGGCTAGTGATTCAGAATGTAATAGTGATATTAAAAATACATTTAGAAAAGTCTAGGGTTTTTACTGGCTTATCAAACAAATGAATACGAATGGACCCTAGACCATCACTGATGAGCAATTAACTGATTTCCCCTGAAAGTTGGCTTCTTACAAAAAAAACAGCTTCCTATCATCAAATGTCACGGCACACCACTGATATACTCTAAATTCTACATCTACACATCTCTATTCTATATATTTTACATATTAAAAGTAAAATGTTCTGTCACTGTCAACCAAAACCAAAACCTTACAAAGAAGTAAAGAAGTACTATAGACTCAACTTTGACTGCCCGGATAAAATATATCCAAATCAATCAAGATGGACAAGTACTTTATCCAGACTTTCCAAAATATTATATTTCAATTGATTTGATTTTAATTTTAATTTGAATTCATTAATTAATTTTGATTTAATTTTTAATTGCTATTTTGATGTAAAGGCCAGAGTTTTAAATTTTTTAAATTAAATATTTCTAAATTTAATTATTATTTTTAGGTTTAATTAACTGGTTACTTAGTTGCTTATAAATACAAATGAATACACAGTGTGACAATACTCCTTCCCCAAAAGACAAACTGGATATGCTGCCTTATTGAGTTTGCTGGCATACCAGATGCAGTGTTAATGGAATTTAACTGCAGTAATAATTGTATTAATGTTTAATTTTAATGTAATTTCTTATACAGTAGAGCGTCGATTATCCTAATCAATTGGGGACTGGGGTTGTTCAGATAACTGATATTTCGGATAACCGATTATACACGAAAAAATATATTAACCTATTCCATGTTGAAATTTTTCTCCGTTGTGTGGCGCTTTGCGTTGAATTTTCGTCGATGTTAAGCCTAACAAAGACTATTGTATCGTTAAAAATTATTTTTTTATTTTGTACAAACAAAATAAATACATCAAAAAATATAAAAACAATAAAAAATTATACTTCAGAAGTTAATTTAGTATCAAAAACGTAAAATATTTGAGTATCCCAAGACATAGCCAAAGATTGCAGTGCCACAGCACTGGTGAAAATTTGAATTTGCTGACTGGAATTCTTTCGGATAATTGACGCTCTACTGTATTTCTTTTATAAATCTGTAATACAATTCTTTTGCAAATCATATAATCTAGTACAGATGTTTAATATTATTATTATTAAGATATAAATTCTAATTAAAAACACTAATATTTAAGTACTGTACAGTTAAGAAGTATTTATATTACATTAAAATTATGGAATAAAAAGTTATTGAAGTTAGTTTTATTTCTACATTATTTCTTTAGTAAATCATTCTATTAATATTATTTCAAGAAGAATACCTTGTTTTTTATCGCAATTAACTGCACAACCTAGAATTAATTGTAATAAACGTCCCAAATCCTTAGGGTCACTTAATTCTGCAACAGCATTTACATCTGGCATGCGGAAGCCTGTTATTTGTTGACCCAACACCTACAGAAAAATATCACATACATACACAATTTTTAAATCATGTATACAAATACTGTATATAATAAATTTTCAAGCATTTCATATGAATTATAAATTATTATATATATTTTACAATCTATGCAAGTAATGTACCAAATGACTTAGCTATATGTTTGAACAAAGAATTGTTTATTATTACTATCACTATTAATATTGAGAGTGTATATCAGATCTCTTAAACTTGAAATACATGTACTGTACCTTAAAATGTTTTCTCTTAAAACTGGAATTATTGGTAAATTTTTCATTTTAATGCTATTAATTGTTTTTATATGTATAAATATAATTAATTTAACTAAAGCCAACCACTGACATATTTTATTACGCTATAATATAGTAATACCTCGAACTTACGCGATAGATGGGACCAAGCGATAACTGCGTAAGTCGAATTAGCGTAAGTTGGGGTATAATTTCGCATATAAATACATACAAATAATTTTTAATTGGGGCCGGAGACTAAAGAAAACAATAATTTAGAAAAAAATGTTTAATAAAATCTTAGATAATACATATGTCTAACAAATTATATTATTACACAATTTTTCACAATTACTTGATTATCACACCATAATTTTAACATTGTTTCCATCTCAGCGATAATACTGTGACATTTATGAATGATGCCTGAATTTAAAGATTGAGCATTTTTCGCAGCTTTGAGAATTTTTTCTTTACCTTTTATAATTGTTCTGACTGTCGATTCTGGTAGATCAAACTTCTTTGCAATTCACAAATTTTCATTTTCGTATCAAAGTCTTTAATAATGTTAACTTTACATTCCAAAGATAAAGTTTTTCTTTTCTTGTTTGATGCAGAAGAATCAGTTCTACTTCGTTTGTATGACATAGTAAAGTTTCTCAAGTTTCCGTAGATAAAACAAACACAGAAATAAATAACACAAAATAAATTGTAGCTATACGTTGATTCCGCGCGACATTTCCGAACATGTAAGCTAAACAATAGTGTGGGGGGGAGTGAGTAATCAAGAGTTGCGTGATGCTCAAACAAAAGACAAATTGGTGAGATTTGAAAATCGCATAACTCCAGGTTCACGTAAGTCAGGGTACTGTAAGTCAAGGTATTACTGTATTAATTTCACTTCAACATACACTCAGACTCATTGAATATTATACAACATATACATCTTATTGCTGAGAATCATTTTTACTACTTTAACTAACATTTTCAACCTAATCAACAGACCATCATCAAGTTATCAGTTTACTGGAATGTTTACAATCATTCTACAATCAAACCAATATGGAATTACAAATACAAATTTAAAATGGTTCAAACATTTGGTTAAAAATCAAAATATAATATATAAATAATATAACTAATCCATTAAATACATAAACTGAACAAAACAAAATAAATAATGTAGAACAAAATAAAATACAAATATAATAACATGATATAAAATTATATCAACCGCATGCTTTGCATCAGATTTTACTAGCGATTANCTTGGACGGAAATGAAATTTGTTACAACGTTGCACTTAGTATTTCATATTTGTTATTAGTAATTTAAAAGACATTTTGAAACACATACGGAATGATAATAATTTTTTAAAATATAACAACACAAAAATGAAAAGGGAACTCGGGTACATTTATTGAGAGCCACAAATAATCCTTCAAAGAGCCGCATGTGGCTCGCGAGCCACAGGTTGGCCACCCCTGGCATAATAGTTAAACTGCTGGAATTCCTTACTTCAATTATATGTAACTGTATGTAATTTTATGCATGAATTACTAGTAATTAATAATTATAATATATCTACAACTTATACATTAGTTGTCTTAATATGTCATTTTTAGCCCACCAGTGGCCAAGCAGTCTTCGTACTCTGAACACTGGGAGTTCGGTTGTGGGTTTGCACCTCACTCGAATGAAATGGCCACGTGGAGTTTTCTGGGTTTTCTCCACATCTGTAACGCCTAAAGCCCTGGTTAAACCATGCAATTTTCAGCCATGCAGGTGACCATAACTGCAACAAGCATGAGTCATGCGTGTCTTCTCATGGTCACACATTGTTCATTGACATTGCAACTCAGAAACATGACCCTATAATAAACAAAAAAAATTACAGTCGCTTGTTCTTGACTACTTTTGTGAGTAAGTTTACCAACATTTTACATTCTACTTCAGAGTATTTATGGAACTTTAGCCACTTTTTTTATTAAAATGGCAAGCAGTTCCTTTTCTGGAATGAATAAAAGAAAAAAAAGCTATTATTTTGATAGAGCTGGTGAGAATACACAAAAAGATAAAATCTTCGATAAAATGGAGAATTAAAATCCCACAGGTATTCATGAGACTGAATAAGCTTGATCAATCTTGATTCTTTAAAAGTATAAATCCTCTAACTATCTGCCATGAGGATGAACTATCTTCAATGTTGTCACCGTATGACATGGCACAAAGGCGTCTGCTGATTGGATGCACATTTACAATTGGTGTGAGTAGAACAAACTTTTTGTTTCTAGTCGCGGTTGCAGTTGCACCAGTTTTCAAAGGGGGTTTACTAGTTAACGAGAACAGCCGTCATGGTTGTGGTCGCCTGCATGGCTGGAAATCGTATGGTGTGACCAGGCTTAAATAGGGGCCAGTTTCCCTTTGAAAGACCTCCTGGAAGGCATCCCCTAGGCAGATTGCACAAGTGTTGTGTTGCCATAACTTAACAACAAACAAACAATACATCATTTTAATGTCAAGAGTCAACAAAACCAGAATTTTCACTAATTGTAATCTTATTTACTAACACTGATCAAAATAAGCAAGTCCTAGTGATTACAATGATATATTCAACAATAATATAATAAGTTAAACAAAATCAAGGTATTTTAAATTAAATATATAGAGAGTCTGATGCAATTGTGAAAGTAAATGATCAAACAACAAAACAGTTATATAATTGTTATGAAAACTTCAAAAGGCTACAAAAGAAAGAATGATAAACTAGATATGTTTAAATAATTATCATAATCACATCATACAACTTGACAAAAAAATTATTCAGTGGAAACTACAAAATTGTAACAGTGGCCCATTAATATGTAAAAGCTAATTACAATAAATTAAAATTCAGATACAGACTTCACTAGTTTGCCTTTTTCTACTTTTCTTGGAAATGTTAAAAACAAAACAGTTCCTATTTGTCTACTTGAAATGTTGAATTGAATCTATCACTTTTAAGGATTAGCTGGAAATTTGAAATTAAGTATATAACTTCACATATTGAATATCAATTTTATTCTAACCAACAATTAAAATCTAATTATAACATATTCAAAGTTGTACCTATGGTATAAATCATGTTTTGTATCTTCAATATACATTCAGTTTACATACCTGTTTCTAACTTATATAATTCATCTTGCATCACTTCTAATTTATGTTGCATCTGTTGAAATCTTTTTCCTGTTAAAGTGCTGTTCAAATTTTAATAATACATTAATTAAATTAAATAATCTGATTACATTTTAAAATTTAAATTCAAATAATAATTCTAAATAATGATACTTTTGAATAAGGAAAATACAAGAAATTATATTTATTGATGTTTTAAAAGTTGTGAAATTTTTACCTTGGGTCTTCTAAACTTTCAATATGGTTTAATCTTTCTAATAATTTGTCATTTTCTGCAAGTAAACTAGCCTTTTCTTCTTGCAATATAGCAACCTATTAGAAAAGAATTTAATAAAAGCATCAGAAATATTAGTTAATTTACAAACAATATAGAAATAAGAATGGAAAGTAGAAAATTATGAGTATATTAATTTCTGTATCTGTGTGCAATGTAAGATTTTATTGCTTTTATATGTGTAATTAATAATTTATTACAGAATACGAAACTATTAAAAAAAATGTGGTCAGTCCGTACTGAACATATAAGATAAAACAGATTTGAAATTGAAATAAACTGCAAATTAAATTTAGCATTATTAGTGCATTCAAGAAAAAATATTTTTCTAAACTATGTATTTAACAAAATTTAAACTTATGTCATCAAGATTATATTATCATAAAAAAAAGTCAAAATCACCTTTCTTTTCCTGAAACACTCATGAGATAATTAAATTGAATAGAAAAACCTATTTTAAATTAAAGCAATAATGACAGCTTTTATAAAACAACTTTTTTTTGGAGTATGAAAAAGTAAAAATGTAATTTCTGTATACATGCTGTTGACGTGTTTTTATTCTCTTTGTTATATATTACTCTCATCTGCTACATCTGTGTATTGTGTTGTCTCCTTGTGTTCACTTTTCCTTTGTATTACCTGTAACTATATTTCAGTGTACACAATTAAAATATTTAGACATAGAAGATTTGTTTATTTGCTATTATCTGACAGGTTATGGGCTTACCAGAATTGCTTACCAGGAAAGAACCTCTAGTATAAGAAATAAGTAAATAGATTCATTGTCTACTACAGTATTGTGGGTCCTAGTGAATTCTCAAATAGTGAGAAGTTTAACAAGATCAATTATGAACTTTGGAAAGTATAGATGAAAAGTGTTCTTGTTTATAATAATAATCTGTGGCAATAAATTGACAGTACTAAAATAAAGCCATAAAAAAGCCTAGAGTGGATCAAGCAAAATACAAAGACATTGGCACTAATAAATCTAAGCAGTAGTCTTGGGCAGTTAAACCTTGTGAAAAATGCTAATGTCCAAGAAAGCAGGAGACAAACTTAAGGAAATATTCCAGTCACAAGGCTCTGTTAGAAAAACAACATTGTGCAAAGATATTATGAATGGGAAAAGGGCAGAATATGACAATTATGCAATACATAAATGAATTCAATACTGATCAAGTAAAGAAAGTGAGAATAGAAATTTCAGAAGATACTACCAACTATGCTTCTTGGATCAATACCAGATAAATATGAAAATTTTAGTATAGCCATAGAGTAATCTTTTGACATACCATTGCGCAAAAACCTTAAAGTAAAATTTAAAGAAAAGGAAGCAAGACAGAGGGAATTCATTACAAAGCTAAATGAAAACAAGAGAAGTAATGCATTATTTTCAAAGGGAAATTCTGACCATGAAAAGCAGTCATGAATGAACTCAAGAGATAGTAGTACAAGATTCAGAGGTCAAAGGTTTGATGGAAGGTCTAACAACTGCAGTAAAAATGGCCATATCAGTAGAAACTGTAAATCAAAAATAAAACAGACAGACATAAAAATTATTAGCAGTGCCCTTATTATACTTGCATGCAACATAGAATTCACAAATGGATAAAAGAAAAAAGTGGTATCTAGATAGTAGTGTGACAAGATGTGTAACAACAAATATAAATTTTTAACCTTAGATCAAATCAAACAGTCTAAAGTACAGTACATACTGCCATACAGGTTTTGTGCAAGCAGTTGACATATGTGATGTGAGTCTTGATTTAAAATATTTCTCCACTGTGTGTTGTGCCATGTTAAATTTTTGTTGATGTTAAGTCTAACGAAAGTCACATTTTAAAAAAAAATAATCGGGGTTATTGTATCATCCAAAATTATTTTTCTATTATGCACAAACAAAATAGATATATTAATAAATGTAAAAACAAAAAAAATTATATTTTGAAAGTTAATTTTAATATAAAAATTATAACAACTAGCGACATCTAGTTTCAAAAAAGTTCCAATGCTGAAACGAGATATCTCGGATCCACCAGTCAAGGTCATCATGTTGCAAACCAAGATATGTCAGGAATATCAGGGAATAGGTTAATATCATATTATTAGGAGGTGCAAAATACTTTACAACATTTATTGATGAATGTACATGTTATATGGAAACTATAATGCTGAAACATCACTCAGATATTCTCCAAGTGTTCAAATCTTATAAACAAAGGGTCGAAAAACAAACAGATCGTCAAATTAAAAAGCTACATACAAATAATGATAGAGAAAATTTACCAAATGAATTTAACAAATTCCTTGAAGAAGAAGGAATAGTATGAAAACTAAGTGTTGAGTACACCCCACAATAAAATAATGTGGCAAAATGAGCAAATCAGACCCTTGTCAAAATAGCAAGGTGCATAATGTTGCAAATGGGTCTTCCTCAGTCACTATGAGCAGAAGCAATCAATACAGCCACATTTCTATGAAATAGAAGTGCAACAAAAACCTTCATTGAAAAAACACAGAATGAACTGTGGTTTAAGCATGAACCTTACATTGGTTTCTTTAAAATCATCAGAAAAAAGCTGTTGCTGGATAAGACTTGAAAACAAAGAAAATTTCAGCCAAAAGGTGATGAGTACATGTGGGTTGGATACTCAAATGAGTCAAAAGACCAGGAAGTAAGATTGTCATCATATGACATGAGATTCATTGAAATAATCCACACAAGTGAGACCTTTCTAAAGAGTATCCCCACTGAACTAGATTTTGCTGCTACAACCAAATGGTGTGTACAATGCTACTAAATCAGGCAATGGAGATGAACAGTGAGAACTGTACAAAACTAGATGAAGAGTCTGACAATGAACCTAACTTGGTTGAATATCTAGAAGAAAATCAAATGAGAAATTAAGGAGAATCACTTGAAAAGATGAAAATGAGATCACCCAAAAATTGAAATAACACGTAAACCCATAAGACTGAGAAAAGTTTATCAAGTAATTAAAGGTAAAATTCCAGACTCCAAACATGTATCTGAATCTATCTACCTTCTCAGCAATGTTATCTATTTATAATAATAAATCACACACACCTGAATTTTTTTACCGAGTTATTTTTGTTTATTCCAAACGTTTTCGGCCAATTCGTATAGGCCATCTTCAGGTTTTAATAGTTTTCGTTGTATCTGAAGCATTAAATCAAGAAGCTAGAGAGCTGTGACTAACCACCATGAAAAAGGAATATAAAGGCCTACATGAGAACAACATATGGATTTTAATATCCAGGCCAAACAATAAGGAAGTATTAAAAATTGTTGGATATTTAAAATGAAAACCAACTAACAGGTTGACGTAGAAAAGTAAAAAATCATGACTTGTAGCTCAAGGTCATGCCCAAGAAAGAGGTATAGACTATGATGATGTTTTTGCTCCAGTCACTAGATACAAAATAATAACAACATTATTAGCAGCATCTGTAAACGAAGAAATGCACATACATCAGATGGAAATAACTTCTACTTGCATGCAAGATGATTTATAGAATGAAATAAACATGGAGCAACCTGAAATGTTCATTCAGAATAAACAAGAAGATAAAGTCTAGAAACTATTGAAATCTTTATATGGATTAAAATAGTCTGAAAGAAAATGTTACAAGAAGCTAGATCGCTTTATCACAAGTATCGAAGGAGGGCATACAGCAGCTGATCCCATTTATGTATTTGGAAAGGAAGAAAATCGAATAATACTCATTACTTACATAGATGATTTAATATTGACAGTGAAGAAGATTAAAAAACTGGAGATCATTAAATCAAAACTGAAGTCAGCATTTAAAATAGTACACCTAGGGCTTATAAGTAACATTTTAGGCATTGAAATTAGAGAAGGTCTAACAGGTAGCATTCATCTGATGCAAACAAATTAAAGCAAAAAATAGGTGAAGAGATTTAACTTACAGTGAGAAACCTGTCGCTGCATCGATAGAGTCAAATATAAAAATTTTTTAATATTATTTTTTTATAATTTTTTTTAAAGGAAATGGGTCAAATTACAGATGAGAGTTCACTGAAAGTCTAATCTATCTGGCAGACATGACACATCCACACATTGCTTTTGCTGCAAGCACATTCAAGCACAATAACTCATTTATCAAAACACATTAGATGTATGAGATCCAGGATTTTAAGGATATTAAAATCCATTTTTAAGAAATTTTTATTTAACATCCATCCATCACAATCATTAGAAAACATTGCACCAAACACGGATCAAATGACAGCTTTACTATCAACAAATGAATGAGAATCTTAACAGTCAGTTGCAACAAGATAACATCTCATTGAGAAAGGAGGGAAAAGTGACTCCATGATGTCAACAAAAAAGTCATCATGGAGTCACTGAGCTCGCACACCTGCAAAAGTAGCCTTTGTGGTCTAAACAACCGAAGATCGTGTGACTAGATTCCCACGCATTTCATATAAAAGGTGGAGACACCAGAAGTTCTGGGCATTTTGTCATAATGTGCCAACGAATTAACATTTGGTCATAAGTGCTCCCATAAAAGTGAAATACTGTCCAAAAAAAGGAAATACAAAGTCCTCGGAGAAGACACTCACCATTCTTTCAACAGTGAATCCTCATCAAGATGATAGAATGATGTCTTATCAATGACCAACAAAGAATTGATGTATTTTGTTAAAAAGTTGTAAACTCGCTCTCTGCGTACAAGAAAGTAGAATAGCCTCACACCATAAGAATTTTAATAGTCACTGCCTTGTATGATTTTACATTTAATTGCATTTAACTGCCTATAATATCTATACCTATAATACCTATGTATATCTTAGAGTTAGAATATATTTAACTTTTATTTGTTTTGTTAAACCTGTCTACCTGTCATTATTTGGCTCCTATTGACGTACCTATCAACCTCTACACTCAACTATTTGCCCTCCTAACCATCCAATGACAACGTGAGTGGGTTTTTTGAACCTGTGCCGGATAAGTGGCATTGAGGGAACCACTTATTGAGTTTCCTCAATGCCCCCGGCTTCTCGTAGATGACTGCAAAGTAAGTTTTGAGATATCTGAAAGGTACTCCTCACTAGTGATTTTAAATTAAAAATTCTTCATTCCTCTACTGTACACAATTTAAAGAAATTTCAAAGTGTGTTAGATTGATCACTTGGTATTATAAACCCTTACATAAGATAACCTTTGTAGTTATATAAATCAAATACTATAATATAATACAATAGAGGGGTTAGAAGTATGAAATAAGCTAATAATTGTAATGTTTGTTCTTATTTTTTGCCCAGGCAATGCTGAGTTTACCTGCTAATATTAAGATATAAATGCAAAATTTACAATACCTGCATGTCTAACTCATGACATCTCTGAGTAATTTGCTGTTTAGCTTCTGTGGCTATCTGTAACTCTTCTAATACTCGTTTTAAATGTTCATTGAGATCAGCAATAGATTCAGCTGAGTAAGTACTAGGAATTTCTTTAGTCATTAACTGAAAAACAATTAGATTACACAATATTAATTAATAACAGTAACAGCAGCAAATGAATTAAATTAGAATATTACAAATTACCTCCTGAATAGCATTCATTACAACATGCTGAACACTTTCTTCCAATCCCATTATAGTTTCAATATATTCTGTAATAAAAATGTCTTAATTGTAACTCAAAGATATCAATAAAACAAGCATATTTTCATTTTTAAAATAAAAACAGTGAAATTCTGTTAACACGGCATCATTGGGACCAAAGCGGTTCCAGCTTATTGAATTTGCTGATTTATCAGACAACAGAATTTTTTTCTGGTTTTTTCAATTTCCTGAATACAATTTCACATATCTTTGCATCAAAAATTACAAATCTGTCTTTTATGATTGTTTAACATGCCATTTCAATTTTTTCAGATTATTCCTATCCTTAGTTGGTTTGAAACAAAAATACTCTAATCTTACTTTGTGCTTTGTACACTTTTTCTATATATACTTCAGTAGCGTGCCGTCCTTGGAAGCGGTGCTTCCCCCACTTCCAAGTATTTATATTTTAGAAAATACATATTATGCAATTATTTTCATATTTGAATGTACTTTGAATTAATTAAAATTTATATTTTATTATAACTGCATTATGTATCTTATTACAAATTTCTATAATACATATGAAAAAACTGATACGATTGCTATTGTATATTTGAATATAAATTTGTATATGGATATTCCCAATGGAAGCACCTTATTGTCAAATATGGGACAGCTTCCACAGTGAAAATATTTGAATTGAAAAGCTGTCAGATTATAGGCATTTGCACATGCGCTTTACAGAACACCAACCTCACATGGTTTAGCAGGTGGATGCTACACACCAAAATATCATGTAATGCTTCCAATGATTCTATAAAGGACCAGTTATGGGCTGTTAGCTGCCTGCCTACTAGATATTTGGTTGCCCTTGCCCCATTATGTGAATCACAAGTAGATTTATAAGTTAACCCAACCAATAGAAATTTACTAGCATGTTTTTACGATAGTTCTGTATAGTCCTGTCAACTGACAGGAGTTTAAAAAAAATCCATTAAAATATTTGATATATTTATTCTGCTTTCGCTCTCCCATCTTGTATTACTTGTAAATTTCAATGTTAAACCAGTGATATGATTTAGTATGTCCCATCTATAAGGGGATGCAGAAATAACATGTACATTCTTGTACAATGTTAAAAAATTAACTATTACTTTGACAGCATCATTTACAACTAAATTTAATGAATGAGACGCACAGGGTACATTTTAAAAAAGCTCTAGAATTTATATTCCTTAAATTTACGATTTATGTATCCGTTTGTCATAAAAATTTGTCTTTCCACTTCTTTCCCAAGTATTCAAGTACAATGTAACTGGTTTCAACTTATTTCTACTTTATAAGTAGTTAAATAATTAAGAGATAAGGAATTAGAGACATAAATAAAACCCTGCTGAAAGAGCCGGAATTTTACTTAAACAAAAGCTTAACCAAACCAATCCCTAGCCGAGTACAGTGGAAAACTGATTTCTTCATAATATTAGATGTAATAAAGACAGAAATTTTTCCAGTTCAATGAGAGATGAGAGTAACTGAAAAGTTGTAAATTTTAGAAATTTCCATGGACATCTGGTCCTAAAACAAATTAAAAAAGAAATGACAGACAATCTATTAAGTTTAACATATTTAGATTTTTACAGCTATGGTGAGAAATGTTTAAAATTTACAAGAACCCTGTGATGCGACAAAACAGGCATTTGACATTGATCAGTATCGGCACCCTTGGGATTTGGCAGCCCTGCACACCTACCAGGACAGTCTCCAATTCCATCCATTAGCCACTTGTAGGGAGCTACTTGACTAAATGGGTTGTTTTAAGATTTAAAAAGTAATGAATATTTTGTTATTTTTATGTACATTTCTTCACAAAGGTATATTTAATTATAATTTTCTTTAAAAGTATATTCATACAATTGAAGAGTATTTTGTACCAGGTATGTATATCCACCACACATTTTATTTCACCAAGTAAGATTTATAATTCTATTTTTAATTTTAGCCCTCACATCATGGCTAGTGATTCAGAATGTAATAGTGATATTAAAAATACATTTAGAAAAGTCTAGGGTTTTTACTGGCTTATCAAACAAATGAATACGAATGGACCCTAGACCATCACTGATGAGCAATTAACTGATTTCCCCTGAAAGTTGGCTTCTTACAAAAAAAACAGCTTCCTATCATCAAATGTCACGGCACACCACTGATATACTCTAAATTCTACATCTACACATCTCTATTCTATATATTTTACATATTAAAAGTAAAATGTTCTGTCACTGTCAACCAAAACCAAAACCTTACAAAGAAGTAAAGAAGTACTATAGACTCAACTTTGACTGCCCGGATAAAATATATCCAAATCAATCAAGATGGACAAGTACTTTATCCAGACTTTCCAAAATATTATATTTCAATTGATTTGATTTTAATTTTAATTTGAATTCATTAATTAATTTTGATTTAATTTTTAATTGCTATTTTGATGTAAAGGCCAGAGTTTTAAATTTTTTAAATTAAATATTTCTAAATTTAATTATTATTTTTAGGTTTAATTAACTGGTTACTTAGTTGCTTATAAATACAAATGAATACACAGTGTGACAATACTCCTTCCCCAAAAGACAAACTGGATATGCTGCCTTATTGAGTTTGCTGGCATACCAGATGCAGTGTTAATGGAATTTAACTGCAGTAATAATTGTATTAATGTTTAATTTTAATGTAATTTCTTATACAGTAGAGCGTCGATTATCCTAATCAATTGGGGACTGGGGTTGTTCAGATAACTGATATTTCGGATAACCGATTATACACGAAAAAATATATTAACCTATTCCATGTTGAAATTTTTCTCCGTTGTGTGGCGCTTTGCGTTGAATTTTCGTCGATGTTAAGCCTAACAAAGACTATTGTATCGTTAAAAATTATTTTTTTATTTTGTACAAACAAAATAAATACATCAAAAAATATAAAAACAATAAAAAATTATACTTCAGAAGTTAATTTAGTATCAAAAACGTAAAATATTTGAGTA